ATGCTTGAATGCATGTCACTGAGTAAAGTGCCTCTTGCTAATTTCCTTACTCGAGTCTAGGCCGGTACCAAAAGGATATGTACAAGCCCTCGAAGGGCAAATAGCCTCTCTGGAACTATTTATTACCAAACTCATTGCCGCAGATGCTTCCAAGCGAGACGAGATGTTAGCTGATTTCAGTGCTTCCACGAATCATCTGGGTCTACAGTCAAAGCAATCTTCTGCTTTTCCAGAGCCCAGTCCACCAGAAACCCAGAGAATTCCTGTACGATCAAGGGCCGGTCACCTCAGGAAACTCAAAGACGGTAATTCGGCTGAATTCTATGGTGCAACTAGCTTTTTCCAGATTAGCCCGTCAGAGGATCTAGATGATACTTCTCCATCTACCATACTACCGCAGCTTGAAGTCAAGCAGCCAGTTACTACCCAAACCCTAAATATAACAGGTGGATCGATGGAAGAGCACTTAGCTTTTTCTCCTCGAAGTGATATCTGCAAATGTCTTATGAGAATATTCTTTCAAAACCAGTACCAATACCATATGTGCTTGTATAGGGAATATTTTCTCCGAGACTTCGATGCTGGTACGGGGCCATACTACTCAGATCTTCTCATATATGCCGTCTGTTCCATGGGTGCTCTTGCTAGTGAGAGTACAACGCAGAGAGAGCTATCCGATATATTTTCCAATCGTGCTCAAGAAATTCTATATGGAACTGCGCTCGAATCTCCAAACCTTACAACTTTACAAGCCCTTTTGCTTCTTGGTCATCGGGAAATTGGACATGGAAAGACTTCCAAGGGATGGCTGTTTTCCGGCATGGCTTTTCGAATTGCTCATGAGATGGGATTGCATCTCGATCCTACAAATTGGAAAGGTTCTAATGATTCCTGGATCGACAGAGAGATCTTACGAAGAGCTTATTGGGCTGCTTTTATAGCGGATAAACAGTTGAGTCTCTATTTTGGAAGACCGCCCGCTCTTTATCCTGCGGAATCAGATGTTCATGACACTGTACGGATACCTTATCCGCCAGAATGGAAGTCTCTTCTCAATAAATACATAATGGAGGGTACTTCCGAGACTGCATATGAGGATGGTCTTGCATTAGTCGCTTCATGGGTTCATCAAATCGAGCTTTGCAAAATACTACATCTTATGATTACGAAAGTCTTCGAAAATAGAAATGTAAATACCGATCCAACGATATTGGAGACCTCAATTAGAGAAGTGGATGTGGCCTTGACAAAATGGCTAAAGAACTTGCCAGCGAAACTTCATTGGACGAAATGGACTGCAGGCAATGTGCCTCCTTTCGTACTCCATCTACAGTAAGCTTAGACGCCTGTGATTTTGAAATTTACTAACACTATTAAGCATGCAATATCATACAGCAATGATACTTCTTCACCGCCCACCAAGGGCTGCTTTTAAAGAACCAGGAATTGGCGAAACCGAGGACATGCAGATATGCTACGAGTCATTGGAAATCATCATGAAACTTCTTCGAATGCACTCTAATAATCTTCAAAAATACCCTTATAGTCACCTTCCTATTACATTTGTTCATACCCTCGCATCAGCTGCGAGTGTTATATTGATGAAAAGATCTATCGAAAACTCTTCTTGGAAAGAACTTACAGTTTCAAGACCCTTGGATCAAATATTAGAGGCTATCAATGGTGTATCGTTAACATGGACATGCGCAAAACAAGTCCGAGATGCCATTACAGCTGCTATAAGAGAACCATCGACAGAGGATCTCCAAAAGACCTCTCCGGGTAATTTTGATCTCATGATGGGCCTTCTCGATTCTGGAGCGGATACCACCATTTCCTCAGACAATGTTGACTGGGATAATCTTGCTATGAACGATTTTGAATTCGACCTCTTAATGGGCAGCGATCTTGCGCTTGGATATTCAACATGGTCCGATGGGTTAGGTTCGCAGATATGAAAATGATTTATCTCTCAACATTCGGGTCATTACATGGATATCTTGTTTTGAGTACTACGTAGTCTACAGGGCCTCAGATTTATTCGGCTACAGGCTGAGAAATCCTCTTCATTTGATTTGGATATCATACAATAAATCCGATTAACGGATCGTAAGTCAATGTGTGTCCAGAGTTTGATTAGTATCAGAATTTTAGTCTCTTCATGTATTAACATTATTCAGTTATCTTCCCGACAAGATAAACATCATTTATGGGGTTGGTAAAATGTGGGACCGCATGGTACATACAGCGGAGTTCCTCCACCGTCGGGTGCATTATCGGTCACGCGAAGTAACTCGGAATCCTTGCATACATGTCACTAGCTGAACGGCTACGTTTACAAAGATTAACCATTGTTCGCACGGATGGGTACAGATAAGTGCAGATAGCAGGACGATCTTCCATAAAACCTCCTGATAGGTGTCTTATCGGGCCAACCCCGCGCGCGGGACTGTAAGACCGTGAACAGGGTAACATCATATTTCCCTGGCCATGTTCGACACTATGTTTGCACATATAATAACGAGGGTATTGACTAAATTTATGATGCCATCGATGTATGTCAATATCGACTGTCCCTCGTGTTGAAGTTGATCTGAGCAATTTTCGCCACACCTAACACAAATCAGTCATGATGGAGCAACCTCACAGTGAGAAGATGGAGTCGCTTCACGAGAAGCCTGGGGTTCTAGGCCATACAGACGACTCAGATATCGATGTCTACATTGATCCAGCAAAAGAAGTCAAGCTACTTGCGAAGCTCGATCTTGCCTTCACTCCAGTGATAATGTTGGTATATTTATCTTGTTTCTTAGATCGCTCCAACATAGGTAAGCACGATTTATTGCCTTAGAATTGATTAGGAACTCACGATTATTAGGCAATGTGAAAGTAGCTGGTATGTTGACAGACATACGTGCTACAGACCAGCAGTTTTCTACTGCTGTATCAATCTTTTACGCAACTTATGTAACCTTCGAGACACCAGCAGCGGTACTAATGAAGAAAATCACTCCTCGCGTGATTTTGTCGACACTTTGCGCTGTATGGTCCCTCACCACCATTTTCACCGGATTTGTTCAAAACATCGGAGGTCTTTATGCTACAAGATTGATTCTTGGATGTTGCGAAGCAGGTCTATTTCCCTGTCTGAATTTGTATTTGACGATGGTGTATCGTCGAGAAGAGCAGGCTAAGCGAGTTGGATATTTGTTCAGCTGCGCTGCTTTGTCCGGCGCATTTGGAGGTCTTTTAGCTTATGGAATTCTTCAAATGGATGGTGTATCAGGAGTTGCGGGCTGGAGGTTTGTTCCGCTTTCATGAAAGATTGAATTGAAAGGAGCTAACAGTTTCAGATGGGTATATATCATCGAAGGGCTGTTCAGTGTCGTAGTCGCTGTAGTCGTTTGGTTTGGTCTTCCGACAGACCCTGGAAACGCATGGTTTCTGAATGCAGAAGAAAGGGAGGTGATGAGACTGAGGGCTATACAGAGGCAGAAGTATATGGGTGTGTAATCTGTTCTCGTCACATTAACGAATTCTCAGCTCATCTTTATACGTAGGCTCCGAAAAGTTCTCATGGGAAGAATTTCGAATCGAGCTCAAAGACCCCAAGCTTTATATCAGGTACGAGCAGAAGTTCTAAGTCTAGTTGAGCTTTGGGCTAACCAGAATTCAAGTGCTGCCATACAATTTATGCAAGATTGCTTGTTGTATGGGTTTAGTACATTCTTACCCTCCATTTTAAAAGCAATGAACTACGACACACTTCAAGCAAACTATCTTACTATACCAGTGTATATGTGGGGTGCGATTAGTTTCTTGTTCTTGGCTTGGGTATCGGACAAGATCAGTATGCGTGGACCTGTAAGTCAATCTCGGATTTTCGAGTCAAGGCGAAGATTAATCAAGATTCTAGATTTTGTTTTTTGCCAACATCTTCGGAATAGTCGGGTATATTTTACTGCTCACAGTGAAGGCTGAAGGTAGATTACACTTCTCAGATTATTTATCAACGAAATACTAACCACTATCTCAGGAGTAAAATTCTTCGCAACCTTCCTCTGTGCTATCGCCGTCTATACAGGTCCTGGACTCAACATAACCTGGCTAAACGTCAACGTAGCACCACATTACAGGCGTGCGACAGCAATCGGTGTTCAGCAATCTATTGCCAACACGGCCGGAATAGTAGCAGGCCAAATATATCGAACCTCTCCTTATGTTCTTGGAAACAGTTTCTCCTTGGGAGCGTTGTGTCTTGCTCAAATATTGATTGTAGTAAAGGTTTGGTATGTGAAGAGTCAGAATAGAACGAAGGAGAAGATTGGAAAGGGAGAGATTGAGGATAATAGGAAAGTAAAGACTGGGGATGGAGAGTTAGATTTTGAGTATCATATTTAGAATTTGAGGGGAGGAAATGATCAGCATCAGCACAGTTCTTTGACATCTCTAGCCTATCACCAATGTTTGTCTAATTGATGAATGGTAATGTAGTGTAGTCGAATAGACTTTATAATAAATATGAAATGTTTCACTTCATTATTTAAGATTGGAAGGGGCAGTGTCGTTAATATTGTTCGGAAAGGCGAGAACCTTCCTTGAATATAGTGAACTAGGAAGCTAAAAGTAACTGCGAGGGACCGCTCTTTCAACAACATCTATCTCTCTAATACTTCACAAATTACAGATTTATTTTCGGAATTTTCCCAGACCTTGAACCAAGTAATCAATAGTTTTGGCCAAAATAAGCAATAATGGTCCCTACGGGTCGTTTACCACCGGTTACAATTGATCAAACCATAGGCAGGTAAGCTATTCCTTATCGAGACTAGTTTCTAAAATTAGCCTCATCTCGAACCATGAATCCGCTCTGGCTTCAAATTCGCACCCTGCCCTGCACCAAATCTAAAAACTTCTCCCACATCTTCAGGTATTGAACCAACTTCAACTTCAACTCACCTATGCCATCAGCGTTTCACACATTCAAGCTCGTTCCAGCAATGGCGCAAAACGCTTCTTCCCGACAATCGCTATCTTCCGCACCACATCCCGCTCCCATTCTACCTCCATCCACCCCAGCAAATTCGCGTCCATCGCCCAATATTTCAACCCCAGCTTCAACACAACCACAAAATCAAACGCCCACCATGACAACTCCAAACAGTGAAGCGCGCATGCATCCTCCTAGTATCCCACGAAGTTTGATGACTCCAGCTAGAGAATTAAGAGAAAGTTCCGTCGCGAGTAGTATTGGAGGCGGAAGTGCGACGCGCAAACCCAGACAGAATTTAGATGAGCGCGATCAAATTCAAGCATTGAAAGCTTGCATCGCTCAAAAACACAATTTCAAGGAGGGAACCAAGAGTCAATTCTGGAATGGAGTTAACGCACAATTTCATGAGTCTACTAACAAAGTTCTGGCGCAAATGAGCGCGACTGTCGCAAGATTGGTGGAAGCTCGTAGGAGACAAGTGTGCGATTGGGAAAATGGTGTTATTCCTGATAAGCCAGGCGGAGAATTAAATACGTTATTGGATGAATGGATTGAATTTTTAAAGGTGGAAGATTCGGACGCGGAGGCCGAAAGGCAACGACAGGTGGATGCGAGAAGAAGGGTAGAGGAATCAAGGAAAGAAGCCAGGAAACAAGTGATTGCGCAGGAAAGCTCAATGCAAAACCAAAGCCCAGGTGTGCGAATTGTCGCGGGTCCAGCTCCCCCACAGCCAATCGCAGATATGGGACAAAATCAACCTCAACATCCTCCTCCTCCTCCTCCTGGCCAAGAAATGGTATACCAATCAGCCCCAAATGGAGAGTTTGGCGATGCGAACGGATTTCGTCCTCACAAAAGAAGAAGAACTACGAATAACGAACACCATCTACCACCTCAAGCTCACCCAGAGCCAATGGTTCCCTACGCCCCAGAGTATCGACTCGCGCCTCCTCATCCTCCATCCCCACCTCGACGCGTCGTAGTAGAAGGCCAATTGAGCAAAGAAGATTGGCGCGATATCATGGGCAATGATTCAAGACTACGAGCATTAGAAAGCAAAGTCGATAAAATTGAATTTATCGTGTCACAAAATAATAAATTGCTGTTGCAATTATTAGCAAACAAGTCAGAAGACAAGGACAAGGAGAGAGAAAGAGATAAGAGGAATGACTCCGAGGATCATGATAGGGTACCCGTTCATCTGGATGCGGAATTCGAGAGAGATTATTTGTGAGGCTACCTCCCCCATACTCTTCGATGCGCAATTAGAAAAAAAGACATTTGCTGAGATTTTTTTTTAAAAAAAGAACGGGACGCTATTCAAAAACTCCTTTACCAATAAACGATTAGTTAAGCTTTTGCTTGGGTCTTCATTTGGGTTCCATGGGTACAACACAATTCCCTGATACGTTGGAGTATAGTTTGTACAAAACAAATTTATGGTTCTTCGTTCTCTATTAGACGATATCGCAAGATGCATCGTCGACCTATCTCCCGACTACCTGGGAATTTGTAAGTCAAATCTTATCTTCTCGCCTTTGATATACACGAGACTGATGCTGTAACAGCCGTGCCTAAAGTTTCAAATGTCTCAAGGGGACCTTCCATATGATTGAATTTACATCCTTCCTACGTACTACTATCACCTTTGATTTTTTTCTCTCTTGTTCTTTACAATCAATCTTCCTTGTCTTTCTCGATGCTGCAGTGCTAGCAACTTTCTACTCTCGCCACGACTAGAGCAAAATGGGACTAAACACTAACAACCACGGTGCGGTGTCTACTCGCTTACTTGGGTCGCGAGCTTGCACTCACGGATGGGTTCACTTGGTCAACATGTCACTTGTATTTGTATTATTAAGTATCAAAGGTGCTCATTTCTTTTACTTGATCGAAATTTTCGGAATCGAAAGCATATTTTATTCATTGGTATTTTGATACTTCTTCGTTCTGGATAACGCCGGGGTATTGCTGGGGAATGGTGGAGGAGAGCAGCGGATGAGAAATGAATTGTGTGTTGGGCATGATTGATGATGGATGGATGGATGGATGGAACATACAAATTTGCATGCATACATACATACCTACGTAGTCTGATCTGAAACTTCACACAGCAGAGAGTGAGAATTGGAATGAAACAATATTTGAAAATTTAAAATAAGACGAAGAAAAAAATGACTGTAATGTCAAAACTTCATCCCCATAATATACCACCTCCTACCTAAAGACCACCTATAGACCTCATCCAGATATCGATGAATTCCATTCATCTATCAAGTATTTCACTACTTATCTATTCATCTGCTCATCTACCCAATCACTCTAATAAACATCAAGATATCTCATATCCCATATCAGAAGTAATTCATCGATCAACCAGTCCAGGTAGGGACACCACCTCCAGTTTTCCTCTCTACTGATACTTTACACGAATTATTAAAGCTATATAACCGAATATCCTAATATATACAGATTCCATTTATTATTCTTTTTTAGAGAAGGGTTAAAACTGAATTAGAATTCTATCGTAGTAGTTGGTGTACGTTTAATGTTTAGTATTTCATCAATTCATCAATCCATCTCTCCAATCCTAAATCCCAAAGTTCAAACTTCAAACTTCAAAGTTCAAACTATACATATCATATCCTATCACTACCTATACATATATACCTCTTCCCTACACATCATCTCCAAGTACCTACCTAGGTAGACAGGTATCTTAGATACACCTTCCACTTATCAATGAATATGATAATTTTCGAAAATTCTATTCGTATTACTTGAGTGTGGATGCTAGAATTATAGTATACTCGTTCATTCATTTAGTTGCTTGTTTATGTTTATGTTTATGTTCGTCTTCTTATTTGTTTTCTTTTTCTTATTCTTTTTTGTTGTGCTTTATGTTTTGTTGATTTATATGGACGGAGTGGAATGAATGAGATGAACAAGACAGGGTGATGAGCTGAGCTGAGCTGGGCTGGGCTGAGATGAGATGAGATTTAGAAGAAGAAAAAAAAAAAGAGAGAATGAGAAGATGGAAGAAACGAGATTAGAAAAAGGATACGGAATAATCAATTCGGAATTCCAGCAAAGCTGGGATGAGATGATTGGGATATGGAGGGGGAAGAGAGGAACACACACAAAAGCGATCACATCAAGATGCGAACAGGATTGATCCACCAGCTTTCCACGACGATGAAAGATTGGCAGAAGAATTATTATATCTATATCGCCATCTAGGATATACCTACGTATACATACATACTTTATTAAAAACAACATATGCCATGCCGTATTTATGCGCCATGAAAACAAACCATACTCCAATGTGCTTTTCAAACCTCGTCCAACCAAGTTCTACACACCGATGCCTTTCCCTGTCTCTCATCTTCAAAAAGTGCAATGCTAGAAAGCATCATGTCGCAACCGATATATCATTCGCCAAATAGCAACACATCAATAAAAAAGGTGAAGTGTCGTCTCCTCAAATCTCTAATCATGTCTAGCACGAATGCCAACATCTAGATTAAGATTCTCGAGGAAAACTTCTTCGCCATCTCTCCAGCCGCAGCAAACAATCCATTGTTCTTTTCATTCAATACCTATTAGAAACATATTAGTAAATATTCTCCAGGGTGTAGATAAAGTAGAGGTTTTGGCACAGGAAAACTTACATGTTGACGTTCGCAATCTATCTTGAGTATCATATCGGACCAAAAGTTCCACATTAATGCACCAAGCGAGATGTTCATGAAACCCTTTCCAGACTCAGGAATAACCAATCGAGCATCACAGAACACAGACGCAAGTAGACAAATAGCCAATACTATCGCGGCTGTCTCAGCATGTCTGGATACTGCCACGGTAGTGGCAAGACCAAGTGCTGCTAGTGTTGCGAGGGTTGAGATCGTGCCGAGCGTGGCGGTTGCCGGTGTATTTACTGCTTCTGCGCCATTCTTGAAAAGCGTGGAGGTGTATCCCGAAGTTTGAAGGCTCAAGCCTGGGCTCGAAAGCTGTCCAGCAGAAGCACCCTGGGCCTTTTGAACAACTGTCTCAACGCCGCTGTAATCCAAAGAGCCACTGTTGACCTTGGTGGAAGAACCAGATGATGCCTTTGAAAGCTTTTTCGCAAGTACAAAACCAGGAGAAGAAACAACGCCGACTTGGTCCGGTACAACTAGAGTTCCAGTTGAAACTACATTAGATAGTATCGTTGGCGTACTTTCTACTGCGACCTTGGATCTTAGACTTGACAATGCCGATTTTGCAACTAGGTGTGTAGACACACGGTCGGTGCCGACACTTAGTATCTTTCTATCCGAGCTGATCGTGGCAAAGTTTGCAAAGCGAGAAGAGACACGATCGCCAGCTAGTCGTACAGCACGACTTAGAGAGGCATCAATAATCGTCGAGTTGTTCGATCTTGCAAAGCCGTCAGGGTTTTCGTGAGGTTTCACAACAACAGATACGCCATGGGCGCGGCCGCTTTCCATCGCATTTTGTGGTACTTCCGGTCTAGATCTAGCCAATGAAGAGAGCGTCGATTCAAAGCTCCATGGTGTTTCTTCATGAACGGGCATACTACTAGAAGCGAAGCTCCTGGAGGTGTTTGTGGTCATTACGAAGCCGTCACCGCCATGTGGAACGCTCGGGCTTGAAACTGGTTGTTCGGTGGTAGCACCAGGAACATGAGACTTGCCATTGTTGGATAGAAGAGCCTTCATAAGCTGGCGGCCATGATCATCAATACGCTCGCGCTCACGTTCTAGGAGTACTTGTTGTCTGTTGCGCAGGCTGCGACTGCGTCCCTTCTCGGTACTGGATACCGTCTCATGGCCGCTATCACTTGATTCAGATCGTGGTGATTGTTCAATGCCCGAGTCGACACCCGAGCCAGTAGCAGAATCATATGCATTATCGGGGCCTGTGCTGACGAAGCCGTCTTCTGAGCCTTGTGATTGGTAAGAACTATCAGTTGGGGAGAAGCCGAATGTCGTAGAGAAGTCATTTAGGATATTTGCACCACTGGTCTGGGTGTTTGCGGTTGATAGTACCGATGAGATGTTGTGGGTTTGAGATCTCTCAGTTGAAGCATGTCCATAACTATCAATCTTCCCAGGATCTTCATGTGGTAAGCCTTGTGGATGAGCTTGTTGAGTATGGGTTGGCGAGAAGTTCGGTATATTGCTAAATGATTCAAAGAAATCTAGATCGGGCTGTGGTTGAGTTTGAGAGATGTATTGCGAGTTGACATCTGCAGAGCTCAATGGTTGTGTGTTGTGATAATTTAGTATGTGGCTAGTGGTATTTAATAGCTGGGGACTAAAAGATGAGGATTGATCGTATACTGGGAAGTCGAATGATATGTTATCATTCATTGTTGAGAAACCAGTATCGAAATCAGGGAAGTTTTCGTAATTAGTCATGCTGAAGTCGTTGTATTGGGTATCAAAACCTGGGATAGCCATCTCTGGGTTCCATTGGTTGAGGTCATCCTCTGGAAAAAGCACAAAATCTTCAATTGAGAATGAATCAACAGGAGGACTGCTTTGTTCAGAGCCTTGGGTAGTTTCTCTAGATAATGAAGGTGTTGATGCCGCAGGACTTGGGTTTGATTGTGAAGGAGGAGAAGGCCTGCTTGACGTAGATGCTCTCGGCGTGTTTGTATGAGAAGCACGTCTATGAGATGGATCACACTATAGTTTGATTAGCAAGGACTCGACCCAAAAGCAAAAAATTGAGATTTACGCACTCTGATCTTCTTTCGCTTGCACTCATCGCAAGCTTTAATGATTCTCATCAGATGTGCATGCTCTCTCTGTTCTTTCGTTTTAGTTCCACGGCCAGCGGAATTTGTAACATCGATACCATCCTTAGTCATGATCGAGAAGCCAGGTAGTCTGACTTCCGCAGACTTCTTGGTGGTATCCTTCTTGGTCTTCTTTGTAACTCGTGACCCCCTAGTGCGATTGGGTGGGGTGCTCGTTGAGCTATAAGTAGAATCGGCAAAGGTAGCTGAGGAAGCAGGGCTAGGAGTGAAAATTGGTGGGCTCAATCCCGAAGATTGTGATTGCGAAGGACTTTGCCCAAAGGTCCATGGCATAACATCGTATCGACGGACCAGGGAGCCGGTGTTAATATCGACGGTTGCATGGTTATAGAAATCGATTGTCACGGTGGAAAGCTTGTCTTGTTTACAAGCATCTCCAATAACGTAAGCATCGATCAATTCCTCAAGCTCTTTTGATCCAAGAGCAGGTTGGAATTGAAGAGGTGCGCCCAAGAAGGGTTGAGTAATTGTGAAAGTGTTGAAAGTAGGCATTTGATTTCCTGTAGACATTGTTGATCAATTGACTACGCGTACAGCCTTATCGATTAGATGATGATTTGTAAGAGGGGTAGGTAATTGGATTCGTCCCGGGGTGACTCTACTTGCCGTTGAACTCACAGAAGAGAATTAACGACGAGGAGTATTGAATGAACAATTGGAAAGGGAATTGGAGTCAGAGTTTGAATCAGTATCGATGAATCTTACGGAAAAGACGAGAAGTTTTGAAAGCCTGAAAGGAAAAAACTGTATCTAATATGACTTTTTCGAGGTTCATCTCACTCGAAGTAATCAAAGCAGGTCGCAATGACTCCAATGACTCCCTGTCAGCCAACTAAACCTATTTTGTACCGGCGAGTCAATGTGGATCTTACAAGATCAATACGATTGGTTCCCATGGTCCTTGACTAGCATAGCCTTTTCGGCCAACAGAATCAGGAAAAGCGTCATTCTCAATTCCCCATGATTTTCTTCGCGTAACAATCAGACAGACAGGCAGAACTTTCTAATGGACAGATATGATTGATCAATTGCATTCACACATCACTCATCCGTCACCCATCACAAGTTCCCCTACATGATATCGGAAATTTCGAGGGCGGGCATGCTAGCTAATATATATAGACCTCTCAAGAGTGGCGCACAAACGGTTCTAGTGCCGTGCAGATCTAGAATATTGCTTTATCATTTGGCAGTATACGGCAAATGACTCACATTCCGTGCCCGTTCTGCAAATGGAACTGCAATCCTTTGGAACTCTAGACCCCTTCTTCACTGTACGAATAGAGTAGAACAAATAATATATGGGGCAAGGCTGACATCATTTGACATGCTTCACATTGTTCCTACTCGGTGCATCATTTTGAGTGAACAGATGACACTTCGCTCAATTCATCATATTGGAGAACTACCTTGGGGAAGGCAGAAAGGGGGAATGGGGGTCTTAGTCGGCTAGGTAAACGGGACGGCGGGACGGACACACTAATCGTTCAACCCGAAGTCGGATATTTGTTAGGGCTAGACCAATAAGGACCCTGAATCTTCCGATTTGAACGTCAATCGTGTTTTGACCTGGCTTGCAATGCGAAATTTTCATGCTTAATTTGCATGTGAATTAAAATGGGAAAGCTACTAAAGATCGGTAACATAGAGAGTATTCATATTTTGTCAAGCAGTTAAATCAGAAGATGTCGAGATCATGAGGAGCCAAATCACTGTTCTATTTCAACCTGATTTCCTCGGTGAGTCTCCGATAGTTAACCGGCATTTTATAAGTTTATTACGAGGGCCATTCTGAAGCTTCGGGCGAGAAGAACCTAGGGTGCAGTTCTGTTGCATTTCTATATCGGTGTTGAAGAACTCGAATGTCTCATATACCAGTGATTGATTCCATATGAACATCATTCAAATACACATTTGGTAATCTGGCGTTAGCAATTTTCACTACTGTACGAGCCAGTAATGTCGTTACTGCATCAGACCCAACCAGTATACTTGAACCTCACCTTGGCTGTTGATCATGACAATCTTGTACCGCTACTTGCACAGGACGTCCCATCCCAATCATCAATCCAACAATCCAATCCATAACTCTCTTCACCCCTCCACCCTCCCCCTTTTCCATTCCAACTTCTAAAGAAATCGCTTAATCTCAGCCCATCCCACCCCATCCATCTTAAACTCACACCACTCCCCTCAAGCCTTCCCATCCATCCATCCATCCAAACCTACCCTTACCAACTACAACTCCCACTCAAGAACCAACCCCAAAAGCCAAGTAAGTAAGCCAGCGACTTCTGTCAACCTCGAACCCTCCCCCAAAAAACTCCAGCATACCTACCTATATACTCACCACCTCATCCAACAAGATTGACTCAACAATACCATATTACATTACAATACTCCCCAACCAACTTCACTTCCACCCAAAACATATTTCCGCCACCTTATCTTCTCTATTCTATTCAATTAAATTCCATTCAAAACTCAATTTACAAGTGCATTCTATCCAATGATCAATGATCAATCATATCATAACACATCATAATACACTCATTACTATAAACCTCAACAAAATATAGCAATTTATAATATTCATATTATCTATATTTATCTATCTATTTATCTATCTATCTATCTATTTATTTATCTATTTATTTATCTATTTATTTATTTCTCTATTTATTTATTTCTCTATTTATTTATTTATTTATTTATTTATCTATCTATCTATTTATCTATTTATCTATCTATCTATCTATCTATCTATCTATCTATCTATCTACCCACCTACCTAAACACCTGCGCAATAACATATCATCCAATCAGCAAATCATTCATTCATCCATTCATTCATTAATCCATCCATTCATTCGCTAGTTAACCACATATAGGAAATGTATACAGTATACAGTACCTACCTAGTTATCGTATCCTCCTTCTCGCTAAAGATCTGTAATGATTACCTAGGATGTAATTTCGATATCTCCTTGATTCAAGTTCGATTCTCTGGTGCTCCATTCCATCCATCCATACATACACAGTCAACCCAGATCTCATCATATCAAATCTCAAGTATCTCAACCTCAACATCTCTCCCCAAGCCCAAGAACCATCTTTCATCTTTCATCTTTCATCTTCCGTCTTCCAACCTCCATCTTCTATAAGTTTCATCCCCCACAAAGCAAATATATACCGAATCCCAGAAAGAATGAATGAATAAATGAACAAATAAACTTTTTCCACAACTTCAAGAAAGACTTCCAACTTTTAGAGACACTCGATAAGAGGACCATCACTTCCACCACTCCCACAATAATGGATCTCCTATTCAGCGACTTACATTCATATTCACATTCGCAATCAAAAATCACCCCCTCATCCATTCAAATATTTCATTTTGACAATTTTTTTATTCTTTCATTTCATTTCATGTATCTTCCACTGTGCATCGCTTGCTGCGTCAGTATTCGCTCTGCTCCGCACATTCACTGGGTATGTATAATCCTCTACCCAGTAGGGAATTTCCTCATCCACCCTCTCATATTCATCGCTTGCTATGCTCGCTCAGTTCTTGCACATCCATACTATAAACATACACACGAGACCATTCCGTTTCTTCCTTATCATACGCTGCTTCCCTTTCCTCGCTGGTCTCATTTACCATCCATTCATACCATCCCACCCAATCCGAATGACTTAAAAAAAACAAAAACAAAAACAAATCCACAAACCCCACTCCCGCTTAATGCCTTGCTGACCGACCACCCCCACGTCGCCTCGCGCCATCAAAACAAGTACTTTGCATGAAGTATCGCATTTTTGAGCTTTCCCTATGTGTATGCATGCCAATTGTATATCAAAGAACAACCCGACCAGTCGAAACCCATTGTGCAAGTTTATGAACCCTCTGACCAAAACAATAGCAAAACTTAAAATCGAAAAGCATAGAAAGAATCGACAACAATCCCAAACCAGAAAAAGTCGCCCGGACCGGAACCCAGAACCATATCGCTTTGCAAATGCATAGATAGAAAACCATAACAAAGTATCCATCTGAATGAATGAGTTTTCGAGAAACCCTCTTTTAATTTTTCTTCTTTTCGCCTCCAGTGGTTGACCATGTGTCGACAGACATGGAGAGGAAATCTATAATAGTCGTAAAACACGCTTATTCGATGATAGCCAAGGAGATCTGATATGCAAACAAACTTTCCCTTTGACCTGTCCTCCACTTTTTGCTGCAAATATCGCAAATTCATATGCAGATGTGTGCAACCTTTTAACTCCATTCAAGACGCGCAAGGTAAGCCGCTTGCCTTATAATACATCCACAATTAGTTGCGAGAAGCCTTTCATTGGAACGTCGAGCACCTATTGATCCTTTGAGCGACTCTCAGCTGGACTTTCACCTGATCAAGTAGACCTTTATCTCAAGCTACCAACAATTTACCCACCCTTACGCTCGCTTTCGTTGACAGGGAGTTTCTCGCCGTGCGAATGACCACCATTAACATTCTTAGCCTCAATAGGAGTACGCCCCTTTTTACGTTGAGTTTGTTGCCATTTTCCAGAAGACACTCCGGGTCCACCACCCTCACTCTTAGCAGATCTAGTATGCCCATTTTGTTTCAAATTAGATGGAGATTGCTTGACCGGCTGCTCAATTCCCACTGACTGCTTTGGGATTGGCCTTGAATGATCAATTTTATTTTTCTCAATGACAGCAGGTCCATTCAACTTCAGATTCTCAAGTTTTTTGTTGATCGTCGGTGAGGGTGTGTGCGTTTCGTATACGGGTGAAAGATGCGACAGCTCGTTTGAGAGGATGTCATTATGACCACTCGCAATGTTGAGGAGTGGGATGCCGCCATTTGGGACATTGCGGGCGGCAATATTCCTTGAGTTAGGAGACAACCGTGAATACCCATCAAGGCCCTCTGCAGATGTCAATCCGTTTGCGATTGATTGATGGCTATTAGAGCCATTTGGGGGAGTCGGGTTAGGACTAGATCCATTAGCAACTAAAGGAGAAACCTCGCTTAGACCACTTCGTGTAAATTTAGGTGTACGTTGCCCAGAAAAGTCCTCCCCCAATGAGATATCACTCTCAGTAAGAGACGCTTGGGATATTGATCCAACAGATCCTCTCGCGTGGGAAATCTTATTTTCAAAGATTGGCCCCTCATTTGTCGGAACAGAATTAGGGACTCCCACAGCAGAAGAACCGTTCACTACCAATGGTCCATTGGTGTGCAGGGTACGAAGATTAGAACTGGACATCGCATGTTGAGATGGAGCAGATTGAGCCAGCGAGAAGCGTCTATCGTTACCTAGTGGAGACGGCGACCGTGAAGGATTACGTTTGATCCTGTCACGAATCGATTGCGGCAGCTGATCGGTTGACAATCGCCGTCTATTTCCAGATATGTCTCCAAACGAAGGTATCGCTAAAGGCAAATCTCTGCGAGTATATGGCTGAGTTGGCTCATTGACGTAATACCCAACATACTCCTTTGGCGTACTAAGCTCTGGTGGAGTAGTAGCCGTTCGCCTCGACTCATATCCTTGTTCAGTGGACTCGTCTGGAATAAAATTTGGGATGGGAACACCGTTGCCCTGTGGTCGCAAAGGTTGATACACCCCAATTCCATTGGTACCATGAGCAGGATGCCCATTTCCTTGCAATAAAAGAGGCGAAGGAGCAGTACGAGTCCCGGGTTGTGAATGTGACCTGATAGACCCATTCGATTGAACCATGTTGGAGCTCGAGCCATTTGTAACAGTGGACCGATGAATACCTCTCCTCATCTCTGGCACAACAGCACTCAATTGCGGAGATGAGGGATTCGTACTCGAGGTTGGGTAGGCATACATTTGTTGCCCAGCGTATTGGAACGGATAAAAGTACATCCCGTCCGGTCGTATAGGTGCTGTTAATGGCCCTTGATCAAACGAAGAGGTTCGATTTCGATCAGTGGCTTGTTGCTTGATTGGCATGCCACCGCCTTGTATGCGACCGTGAGACTGTGCATATGCTTGAGCCTGGGCATGAGCCTGAGCATGAGCATGAGCCTGTTCCATGTACGTTTGTTGGACCAATTGCATCCTTAAAGTATTCTCTTGTGCCTGTAAGACCGAATACGTGGCGTAGAGGTGGTTGTGCAACTGTGATTGCGCTTGTTGCTGGGCAGCCCATTGGTCCTGTGTAGAGATATTCGACGGTATCCCATGCTGTGGGTACATGTGGTTATCGTAATTGCTATTTGAAGATTTGCGGCTGCCATTTGACGAATTGCGATTAGAATGGTTGTTACGACCGCCACGGTGACCTCCTCTGCCATTCCTATGCGGGGGATGACTAGCAGTCAATGTTGGCTTCTTAGACGGGGGTGGCTTTTCCCAAACTCGCTCCTGCTCTTTTGGAAATATATATTCTTCGCAACACTCATCCAGTTTGCCGCCAGATATCAACTCGAATGCCCTCCTCATTTCCAAGTGAAGTCCACGAAAGGAGAAATCATCTGCGGTATTTCCAAGATTCCGTTCAGTATTAAAAGGTTCCTCCACGCACAGCATGTTGTTTGTTGCTATTGCCCATTTCTTCTCCTGCTTCGAGATTTGCTTTCCCATTCGGACCGAGACTACCTGCTTGTCATAATCGAATTCGTGCCCGTAAAATCGAAAAAATTGGAACAAAAGTTCTCCCAAGGTTGATTTGTTCTTCAGACCAAACCCCCTCAAGGCGTCAATATCGTCTGCGAAGCTGCTTTCACCCCCTTCCTTCGTTGGTAACCTAAGGTGAGGCCGTTGATGTAGTGATGGTAACACAGGAGGCTCCCGACTCTGTAGAAAATTGATGATCATGCATATCCATGTATATGAGCTCAATGTGCCACCAACTAAAGAATGTGAGCGAAAATAGTCATGCCAAGGGGTTTCCTATTCTTACCAGCATCATTGATCGCCCTTGACTTTGTCCAATGCTTGATTATCATAGCCAAGGGCCTCACACGGGGATCAATCTCGATGTACGTTTTTATCATTCGAGTGTTCTCTAGAGCCTGGGTATTGTTGACATTCATGTCGCAAGGCAACTCGAGCTCCGGATCAAATATCTTGACGATGGGAACCTTAGCAGTTGATACACAAATTACCTTTTGCATACCATCTAGAGAATGTCAGTTATGTTGTCGTTGGCTGGGGTCGGGATACTCACTCTTTGCGAGTAATTCTGCAATCATGCATACACCCTCCATCACCTTCCAGTCGGTCGTTATGCAAATATCGACTAAGATTATCTATCAGTAGAGCTTTCAGACTTTAGCACCTTTTCAACTTACCATCTGACGCATCAGTACAAAGCAAATTGCCCGATGAACCGAAAACATAAACCCGTATATCGTGCCCAGGCCATTCTTTGTTAAACATATCTTCCAGCTTCGACACCAGCTTCCTCCTTCTCTCGTCGGTTTCCGCCGTTGGCAATAAACGATCATATAGCTCGCGCATATCTGTGGACAATTTTCTCTCTTCTTCATCTGACAATTTGCTTTTCAGATCAGAATCCTTCAATTGTTCCAATCGATCAGCCCCAAGACTATAAGGCATGCGCCGCCTTATGGAGGCCATAGCCGTTTCGTACTGACATCCTCTCCGCTGGGCAGGAGGTGGTCTCGAAGGTAGAGTTATATTTGATTCGGAGTATGCCGATCTAGGGGAATGGCTGCCAGGGGCATTTGGTGAAGGTTCTCTCGACTCGTCGAAAGAGAACTTCCTCGGATGCTGATGTGGTGTAGAAGGTACGGAATTCGATTCTCGAGACAATGTGGAATTTTGATGTTGTGCAACTGGTCGTGGGGGGAGTTGAGCTGTCAACTCAAATTTCTTGCCCGGCATCGCTGGTGATGTCTCCTTCTCTGTTATGAGCGCGCGCTCGCTTTTATTGAATTTTCGTACGTCCCTATTCCCATGACCGCCCCTCGCAGCAGGTTTTGGTTTTCGTTCCGTGGTAACGCCACTTGAGCTGGATCTTTGTCCGGGCACCGCCTGAATGTGTTGTGCTGAAAGTAGTGGGGGAAGTGGTGCAGTTTGCAGTCTAGTGTTTCCGCCTGAAGAAATGAGCTTGTTGTACTGTTCAAGTTGTTGTTGGTGAAATGAGGGCTGTTGGGGGAGTAAAATGGGAATGAATTGGGTTGGAAGCTGAGGGAAACCAGGAACACTCGGCGAGGAGCTGGAATTTGAATCGGCGTGGGTATTACGCCGCACGAGTCGCGACCACTGTGCAGATTGATATTGATATTTAGAATTACCTGTAGAAGGCTGGCCCTCCATCAACCTTATAAATTCCTTCTGTTGTGGGCGAGGGGATGTCGTTTTTCTTGACGATGTGTTGAGAATGTCTCGACTCTAAACGACCGACGGGGAAATCGAAGCAAAGACACACGGATCTTGGTACGAGTAAAGACGATGGAGGTAGCCACGCAACTATGAAAAGAGAAAGAGAATCAAAGAGTCTCCCCAATGTAGGAAGTATATGTAATTGTGCTCCGTAAACAAACGTCGTGGTTGTGGTCGTAATTCGTGGATTCAAAGAAGGAGAGGTTGTCGGAGGTTGATTTTCCTTCTTTCGAGATTGCCCCCTTCTGATATTGAGTTGCGTTGAGAGTGTGGTCCTATGTATTGGTCCCTCGCTATTTTTTTAATTCCGGACCATAGAAATTCGTATCGAAATTGAAGAGTGGAGAAAAAAAGGGAACTCGTTGCTTTGGAAAAATCGAGGGTATCTGTTACGGGATTCCGCTGTGCAGTGTGAACATAAACATACGAGAAGAATTATTCCTCCGTGGTCTTTTTGGTTTTAATTATGACAAGAGAATGAAATTGATCAATTGTTTAATTTTTTTCTTTTCTTTTCTTGAATGAGAGGAGAGAGAAAAGTAGGAATCTGGTTGGTAGAAAGAGAATTGGAGGGGAACCAGATTTTATTTTGGGAGGGCTGTTGCTTTGTTCTTCCACCGTTGTATCACACTTCTACGCACTTTCATACCAGAGAGTGTACTAGGTGGTGTACTAGGTAGGTACTGGATACTGTCTGTACTTGATTACTTTACTATAGTGAGTCGTAGTAATTAATCAATGGACGGAGTAAAGCAGCACTTTCTCGGGGCGTGTGTGGTAGGAACGTGAGTATTGGACTTTCCTCGATTTAAAAAGGAACGCTAAGCATGGTTCTGGTCCCAACAGAGCAGCAACAGGGTGAGGTGAGGTGAGAGGGAGGAAGGAGGAAGTAATCAAGCAGGAGAAGGTAATAAGGAGGACTCGCAGGAGGTGAATTGCTGCTCCAAAGAGTTGCTGCTTAAAAGATGAGAATGGCACTTTCCCGTATTTTCATTCAATATTCTCCTATCTCAAGGGTTCCATGTGATTCGTAACTACCTCCAGCTAGGTAGGTATAGGTAGGTCGGTAGGTGGTAGGTGGTAGGTGGTAGGTGTATGTAGGTACTAGTTCGAACTGTATGGTATTGGTATTGATATTGACTTCAGCAATAGAAATTATAATCGGAGAACTGGACAATGGAAGAATTGAATATCAAGACCATTTTTTGAAGCGGTTATTCATCGCCCTGGAGGGAATGGAAGGAAAGAGATGGTACCTCCTTTTCTTCATGTATTCATTCATATATTTATATATTCACATTTTCACACATTCACACATTCACATGTACAATCCTCCATCATACGGGCCATTCTGAGGTCTCTTAAGATTTACTCATAAAACTACTCGACTCCTGGTAAATTGGTTCACAACACAACATGCGTAGATCTGCCTCCTCCAATTCCATGTACTGGCCGTACCTACGAGACAACCTGGAGAGTTCCATATGTATATGTATATGTATATATGATACGAGTAATAACCATGGCCAACGCAAATCTCCCCCATAGCCAAGTCCTCTCTCCTCTCCTCTGGTCCCAGCTACTCAAACTTTACTTTTTGGTTATATCCCTCGTGCCAGTCACCACTTCGGAAAATATAAGTCCATTTCCTTTGTGAGCCTATTCCTTTTGCCTAACCATCTAGCCATTCACATTTCATGTAACACCGAGGGTGACTGTGTGACCTCAATATTAATATGGATACCGGTACTATGTGCCCACCCAAATTGCATCACAAATCCCCAGTCTAGCACGAAATATCTCCGCATATTTAGATTTAGGTGCAAAGAAGTTTCCAGCTCTTCCACGGTTTCTTCTTCGCTGGTACAATATATGTTCATAGAGCACGTACCAAGGAGGCCAAGTAATTGGAAGAAAATGATCATGAATAACGAGTTGGTTGGTCACTCGAGTGTATAAGTTTCAGCCCTGGAGAGAGTCTCATTCCTTTGAGGGGCGAGTATGTATTCAGCTCCTGTATCTAAAAGCTCCATCACAATTCCCCATCTTGGAGAATCTCGACGTGACCGTGGTACCTCGTACTAGTTATCCATGTGCATACAGTGTGTGTGTGTGGATTGCATAACGGGACAGTTTTACCTAGGTCCTAGTCCGGTGTAGTGCAGTGAGCCTGTGCCTGTTTGGGGACTGGCAAGTAAGATGGCAGTCTTCGGGATACTCATACCACACTTTACTCCTCTCTCCAAGCAATCGCCAATCTGACAGGAGGGGGCAATTTACAGCTTACCAGAAGATCAGCCCAAAGTGAGGCCACGAAGCATAGTCAGTGAAAGGGAAAACATAGAAACAATCCAACAATCCAACAATCCAACAATACGAACACGGCCTGAACAATTCTACTTCGTATGTAAAGTACCTAATAAAGCTACCTTCGCAGTGTGCAAGCTTTTCTAAACTAAGCTAGTCCCAAGTCCAAGACGTTTTGTTTCCTTCTCGAATCGTTCATTCTAAAAAGAACCCCGCCTGCAGGGCTCAACCACAATCCTTAATACCAGTATCGTACATCAAAGTCAAATTACCATTTCTGAGACGAAGGGGTTCAAGCTCCGACCTTTCTACAGTCTAGTCTTTGAACCTTTCTTCGACATCCCGATTCCTCGATGCGATTTATTGGTTCATGTTTCTCCCAGGCAATCATTTCATTGATGGATATATATCTATCCATCTATCCATAAATTACAACTACCAAGGTACTTGGAGTTATCCATTACATTTCCAGGATCATTAATTCCTTCACAACATCGAATCATGCTAAGGAGCTGCGGGTAGGAAGGGCCAAACCTCAATATCAATCAATATCAATCAATAACAATAACAATATCAAAGATGGTTGATTTACCCCTTAAATCCGAGATCAAACCTTATTAACCTTGGCAAAGAATTCTGGAATAATCCAAAAGACAAAGAGAAACATGAGCAACATGAGAATCAGGTTGATTACGATAGCAGCTAGACAGAGTGTGTGCCTTGAATAGTATCCTCGCTCAAGTACAGACCTACTACCTACCCCAGTCCCATTCTCCAAATCTGGAAACAAAAAAGGAACAAGAAGCATTTCTTTCCAAGTCTCAGACGATCCTACGAAGATGTATGGATTTCCGGTTAATTGAGGGGTTCATCAGGGTCCTCCTGTTGCTCTCCGTTCACATTTAATCTCCTTGAATCTCCAAGATTTCCAGAATCCTTCCGATATACGATTGATCAAATCCCCGACGTCTTCCCATCCCAGGGAACAATGAATGCATCCATCATTCCTTTCTTTCAATGATCAATGATAATATAATCAATCCATAATGAATCCTTTCACACAATTCAACCGATCCACCACGTCCAAGAAAGAGAAATCTGGGGAAAGGCGGCACACAATTACCTTTTTTCCCACATTTTCTCCAATTTACCAATTACCTTGATGCATTCTTCATTTATTCCTTTCATTTGGATACTGGTAATGGTGACATCCATATATTCTCCCTGCATTCATTCGGTAATTTCATTAGCCCTGCCTCGCCTGCTTAACCGCCGAGGTGTCGAAAAGCCCTGGAGAAGTCATGTTACGCCACAGCCGTGAAGGGATTAGGATTAACAAGACCTTGAGGTTCTGTTCTGTCGTGTTTTGAGTTTTGGGGGTTCACTGGTGGTTGAAGAATCGGAGGGATCTTCCGCGGCAATGAACTTATCTTTCCCGACCGATCCCTTTTTGGTTTCTTTACAATTGCAAATGCACTCACACCCACATCCATATCCAACTTTGAAGTGCCGACATGTGCTAATGTAAGGAAGCAGGATTCAATACGTTTACCTCGTATGTTTACTAGAGACTTCTCATGATGTGTACTCAAAATGCTCGTTCAAAATTGTATGAATACTAACGTACAGCCAGCCTTTCAGAGTCCACTCGTCAATAACTTGGTTGTTAGGATTGCTTCATGTTGACTCAAAGAACTCACTTCCTTCTTTATCATCTTCTTTCTCATGTTCCACATTATTCTTACCATACCATACCATATCTCCCTCTCAATCTCTCCCCTCCTCGTCCTTTTCCTTGTCAACGAAACAAAGACTTGATTCATCCACTCTATCCCATTCCGCCTTATATCGTACCACTTATTGAATAATACCAGGGTACATTCAAAACAGTCTGCCAAACCTCCAAATCATGAAGTCATTTTCTTGGCAATTTTGGGGGGGGGGATTCTTCATTTTTCTTTTCCTCACTGCTTATGCTCACGCTCACTAATCAACTTTTCTTGTATCTCGATCACGATTTCTTCTCCACCAACCAATTTTGACTCTATATTCTCATCCCAAAAGAAATACTTACATCTCGATTTATACGCCCGATGCTCCTTGGCATGCAAACAATGAGGTAACATCTTCTCTTGAGCATCGCGAATCGCGCCTTGAATTGTCTAGAAGCCGCTTAAATCCATCAGCTCAATACTTCGTCCACATACGGGGCCGAGGGGGGCCAGCCTACTCTTCCGCCTTAATTGCGGAGCCCAACTACCTCATCTACTCTGTCTGTACGAAGGACTCGTATAACAAAGCACCAACTTTGGTCTGGAACTCTTTTCGCCAGTGACAAGTGAAGAAGGGAAAGAAAGGTATCAGGTTGTCAGCTTTGTTCCAACACACCCGTTTCTTTCATCCTCATCCAATCTTACCTACGATATTCCTTAGACAATCAACCCTATTGGTGAAAAACACCCCGAAAGACTCAGACTCAGACCCGACATAAGGTTATTCCCAAAAAGCACGCAACCCACTTAGCCTTCCCTCAACTCAATGATCTAATCATCTGTGAACAAATTTCTAAACTCCGAACTAAAACTTCTACCCGGCCCTTCCGCATTTTCCATCCTTCTCTCTCATCTGTCTCGTCCCTAAAAGGCCCTTTGTAGCAAACAAAAATTCTCAAGCAAGAAATTCTTGACACTCTAACCCTCTAAACATCTAGTACCCATCCTCTAGTACCTGTCTAGAACCGCCTCCTAACATCCAATCGGCATCCACTCCCGGATATTTACTTGAGATCTAGATAGAATGTATGCATCTCCTCCCGTCTTTGCCTCTAGGACTGAATGAAGAACGTCATTGGGAACTCGAATTAAGGTTTTAAGAGCTTAATGCATCATTAGAAATCAACATCCGTCGTGTCGTATCGTACGTGCACACGAAGATTGATCCATCAAAACTTACACACAATAACAATACATATATATATCTTTCCGTGCCCTCCTCATCCGTCTTATTATACTTTCTCACCACATCCTCATCATCTATCTCATCATCTACGGAGTCTCATCATCTTTCTCAAACTCTCTGCCAAGCCAAACCCGCACAACCGCAGAAATCCCAGCACCTACTACGTACCTACTAGGTACCTAACTAACAACACATTCCCAGCCCGGCTACCAACCCAACCGGTATCCGTCTATCCCGAGTCCAACCCCTCCCTGCCACAGCTTCTCTCTTTCGCTCTCGGAATTCACGGAATTATCACTTTTGTCCATTTCTCCATTTCCTACCCATTCATTTATTTCAAAGCATACAGTCAATCGAGCATACCTCATCTCTTAAAAAGCAGAGCAAGAAAGTTACTTTCTTTCTAATCTACTTACTACGAATCTACTATAGTATCCATTTCTTCATCGGCATCATCACATTGAATATCAAATAAAATACATACATACATACCTACATACATACCCACATGCAAGAAATATATACATAAGATAAATTATCCTAAGGATCTCTCTGAGCAATCGCAATATTCTTATATCCGCTTTATCTCCTCCTCATTACATACCTACCTAGCATATCACATCCAAGTACCGAATCAAATCGAGGTCGAGTTCGAGGAAAAAAAGAAAAGCGCCAGCTTGTGTGAAAACGGATTCTCTTTCTCATTTTTTTTTTCATTCTTCTGCCCGGAGAAAAAGGTGTGAGGATTGCCTAAGTACTTTGCGTGCCGAGCTGTTCTTTGTTGTGTATATCGGGAGATACATAGGTATATATATATATACATATCCTGAGCTACATACGTCTATACGTTTATTTTCTACTACGACAACTACTACCTACGACCAAAGGAAACTTCCTTGGCTATCGAATTGCGATTAGGATTCCATTATATTCATTCACATTCTTCTATTCGAGATCTTTTCTGGAGTGATATCGATATCGACATCGAATTTTGAATTGGGATTGAAATTGAAATTGAAACCGGACTTGAATCCGCATTGGGAATTCGGTGTTGGGGATTTCGATTTGGGATATTCACATTCTTATACCATTTTTTTACTTTATTTATTGTGTTGATCAATTATATACATACACCAGCAATGACACGATTACTATCAAGGTATGGATGATCTTTTCCTCTATCTTATTTCATCTACTTTCATCTACTCTAATCCATCCACACCCCCTCCCCCTCTCAATCTCCCCCCACAACTATCTAACACTACCCAGAAGCTCACTCACCTCATCCCGCTCCACGACCCTCCTAATCGCCTTCCTCTCTCTAACATCCAACACCCTCTCTTCAATCTTCTTCCACCAAATCCCCGACGAGCCGTTTCACCTCGCGGTTAACTATGGATTGTATCTGCATTTTGCAAACGTGATGAGTGTTTTTGGGGTTATTGGGGCTTTGAGGGTATGTATATTTCTTTCTTCCTTATCCCAGGCCTGAATTTCTCTCCACTCTTTGTTGAAATTCATGAATCGATATCGATATCACTAGATATATATAACAATTATTAAGAGAGAAAAGAACTAACAACCCCCTCAGAAACACTCCCTCTCCATTCTCTGTTTCTCAAACTATCTCCTCCTCGATACACTCCTCAGCGCAATCCCCCGTCTCCTCCTCCTAACCCTCCTCTCCAACTCCTCTTCTATCCTCTGCACCCCCTCTTCAACCACCTCTCTCGATTTCTCCACCGTCACTCAACCTCCCTCCCTGTCGCAAAATACGCAAGAAATAAGTCTCGCTTCTTACACCATCTCGACCAGTATCCCCGCATCATCACACATCGCATCTTTTGCGGATTTTGTAGGGAGGACGGGAGGAGATGATGGATGGACCGAGAGTGGATGTAAGAAGATTATTACGCTGGGATATATAACGCTGATTGCGGGGGTTATGGCAGCTATGGGACTGCAGGTTTTAGGCGCGCTTTGTGTGAGGGATTACGCGAGGGGCTTGTTTGTGAATGAGGAGATGGGGAATGATGGGGAATGGGAAAGAGAGATGGGGGATAGGGAAAGAGAGAGGGGGGATGTGGAGAGAGGGGAGAAGGTGAAGTTGGTGGAGAGGGAAGGGTTCAGACCGCTTTTGGTATTGGAAAGAGAGAGGGGTGAAGAGTTTAGGAGGATGACGCCGATTGTGGAAGAGAGGGAATACTTTTAAATGATGACAGTGATTGAGGAAGTGGCAACAGGAGGAGACTAAACGAGATGAAAATCCATCTCCATTCGCATACCCAAGGAGTAGGAGTAAATCTCCCACGAATATGAAGCAAGCAAGCAGTCCCACGAGACAAAACGACATGAATAAGAAATGACGAAATTGTATGATACGATAGGTGGTGGATGGAATTAGTCTGCACATGGATGACAAATGAGATATGAAGCGAACTTTGCGTTGATGGCTATGATTGGGCTTGTGTATATCAATTGCATTGAGGAAGTATGAAGTATAGAGTATGAAGTGTGAAGCGGGAAATGTAAATGGGAATAGGAATAGGAATATGAGGATAGGGCGCTCATTAGATACCATTACTATCGATATCATTGGAAGAAGAAACAGAAGAAAAGAAGAGGAAGAGGAAGAGGAAGAGGAAGAGGAAGAGGAAGAGGAAGAGGAAGAGGAAGAGGAAGAGGAAGAGGAAGAGGAAGAGGAAGAGGAAGAGGAAGAGGAAGAGGAAGAATAACAAGAAGAACAGGGAGTGTAATAATAAATAAATAAATATATATATATATACATTACGATTTTACTACATGAATTGAAATAAGTAAATTCATTAATTAGATAGTATTAGTTATAAGATATAAGATATCGTATATAGATTTATATTCGAGTATTCGAGTATGTGTTCGAGTACTCGAGAAATGAAATGAAATGAAATAAGAATAAAAATAAGAATAAAAATAAAAATAAAAATAAAATAAAAATAAATATAAATATAAATATAAATATAAATAGAAATATAAATAGAAATATAAATAGAAGTATAAATAGAAGTAAAAATAAAAATAAAAATAAAAATAAAAATAAAATAAAAATAAAAATAAAAATATAAATATAAATAGAAATATATTATCTACATCGGATCTTTAACATACCCTCTTAGAAATACTCGTATATATATATTACTAGATAGTATTTATACCTAGGTTTATAAGTATTTATAATAGAAGGAAAGAAGATAAATAGATAGATAGATAGATAGATAGATAGATAGATAAATAATAAATAAATAAATAAATAAATAAATAAATAATAAATAAATAAATAAATAAATAAATAAATAAATAAATAAATAAATAAATAAATAAATAAATAAATAAATAAATAAATAAATAGATAGGTATATATATATCCTTTAAAAACTATTAAGTGTTGATGTTGCAGGTGAGGAGGGAAGTATCTGAATAGTAGATAGGTAAGCTAAGGGAGGTAGGTAGGTAAGGTAAGGATGGTAAGGTAGGTAAGCTAAGGTATCTACTGATTAATGGATGGTAGGTAGGGAGGTAGTAGGTAAGGGACTGTATCCATTTCATCTGCAGGGTAATTTTGATTTCTTGTTGGATTTGAAATTTTGAAATTTGATGAATATTTTTTGGGGGGGAGGGGGAGGAGGGGGGTTGGATGATGCGAGGTGGGTAGTGCTGGGGTAGGTAGTGCTGGGTAGTGCTAATAGGAAAGGAGATGATAGGAAAGTAGATAGATAAATAAATAGATAAGGTGAAATGAAATGGATTGAAATGGATGATTTTTGTACTGTACGGTACGGTACAGTACCTATCTATCTAGCCTAGCCTAGGATTCTCTCGCTTTCTGTATAGAGGGTGGTGGGTTTAAATGGAAGAGGAGAGGAGAGGAGAGGAGAGGAGAGGAGAGGAGAGAGGATAGAATGAGTACTGACTGACTGACTGACTGACTAACTAATTAATTAACTGATTGACTAACTAACTGATTAACTAATTAATTGACTAATTAACTAACTGATTAATTAATTAATTAATTAACTAACTAATTAACTAACTGATTAATTAATTAATTAATTAATTAACTAACTAACTGATTAACTGATTAACTAACTAACTAACTGACTGACTGACTGACTGACTGACTGACTGACTGACTGACTGATTATAGTGAAAAGAAGGGAGAAGGAATCTGGAAGTGTAGAGAAAAAAAGAGAGGAGATAATGAGGAACTAAGTAGATATGTATGGTGATGAATTGATGGTGAGACGTCGGTTATCAGATGAGATGAGATGAGACGATTGTGGGATCTGGAAGGGGAGGGGAGGGAAGAGAGGCTGGAGGATAGATAGAAAAGGTAAGATAGATACACCTTCGGAATTAACTTCTACGTACATTTCGATTGTCTAGCTCTGGGCCGTGGTGAATGTTGTAGACTACTTCAAGCCCGAAAGTAGCTAGATTGTGTGTAGTTTTTAGAAGTTGTGGGTTTGGGCTTCTTTGATATGGTCGTCGTGTATCGATATATTATTGATGTGGTTTGTGGTTTGTGTTTGTGGTGAGAGCTACATAGAAACCAGAAAGATAGAGAAGTGAGAAAAGTGAGAGATTCGTGAACAGATGGGAGCCAGTTCCTTAGTCGGGAAGAAAAGACATGATGCAAAATATAATATATTCGAGTTGAGCCCCCCAAGCTCAGGAACCTCATATCGACTTCAAAGCAAAACATTCAAACATCACGATGATGATGAATTCACCGCTCGTAAACCCCGCTGGATGGTTAAATTCATGGTGGGGTAATACTCCGATAAGTAAAGATTTGTATTTCCCCGTGATGATAAGGAGTAATGAACTGGTGGGAGACGAAGGCGGATAATATCCATCGTGTCAAGAATTCAAGTATATACCTCACTGGTAGGCTATCCGGAATCAATCCCGAAACTTCATTATTGAATTCATATATGGATGGTAAAAACTAATCATTTGAGAGGCACGTTGCCATCTTGATCCTTCTTGATTTTGTATATGAAGCTCTCGCATCCGATGCATAAGCTAGAATTGATTTTTCTCTCTTTTGAAGATATCCTGAGTGGAAGAAAGTTGCATAGTACGCAACTTCACTCATCACCGATTGTACATGAAATCGGGAAGTCGAAAGCTTCAGTATTTGTAGCCTATTTCCTTCCGAACTGACGGTTAGATATAGCCTTTTATATGCAGAGCAAAAGTGTGACTGCAATTTCCTGTGGGAAGAGCCGTGTGAATGAGGGGGATGTTGCATCAAAGTTTCCATACATAGTACAGCAAATCAAACCAACCCATTTTGACCAATGGTGGGGCGAACTTGGCGAAGGTATTACAATCTGCAGATGCGTGGCGTGCACCGCATTAAGAAACCGGCATGGAGTTGGGTGTGATGGATGGCCCAGGTGTGGGATGCATACATTCTGCAGTTTCGTTGGGCCACCTTACAGATTTTGTTGTTTGTTCCCCTTCTGTGGTTCGGTTTCCGGCGGGAATTTCCAATGCGTGTGGGTAGGTATGATTGCCAGGTGACGCTTTTCTTAGAAGCAAGATTCAACCGGCTTACCGGCATTGGAAATGTTTTACTATAGATTGGTCATATTCAATAGAAGAACCGTTTCTCAAGAACATGGTTTGCAATAACAGTCGTATAAAGTTTCTGCATCTTTCCTTTTGTCTGTGCTTTGCTAATTCTCTACAAAGTACGAAGTAGATTTCGGCTCGGCTGTTGAACTTTGATGATGCATGTCAGAAAGGTGTTCGGAGTTGTGCGAATGATAAAGCAGCAAGATAGATAGGGTGAGGATCCTTGTAAAAGGAGTGTAGTGCGTGTAGTGCGTGAGTGCGATAAGGAACAAGATATTTTGGTTCTTTTTGGAATATTATATTGAAGGATGAATGACTCCCTGTAAATGTTCGATATATCAAGCACGACTTTCTCACTAAAGGATTTTCCACTCATCCGTCAATACCGGTACGCGAAGACTTTGTCTTGCCATGAAATCAGATTCACCCCATTTCGAATAGGGGTAAAATTGAGGAATGAGATCTTCAATTTTCTTTCTCTCTTATGAACCCCACGAGAAACCTCGGGACCACCTGGTGGACTAGACAACTTCATCCAGATAACCCGAGACTTATTCTCAGGTTGTCGTCTGTGGCTTGATCATTGACATCCAGAGAACAAATTGTACAAGGATCATCCGCATATCGCGCTCAGCGAAATTGTAGTCCCCCTGTTGGTTGGTTGCACGTCCGTTGGAATTGGTGGTGGAGCGATTGAGCGATTCATTCGCTAGGTGCTTGATGAAGAACAGAAGGCAAGAGAAGAGCATTTCCTTCCATGAATCTTGCTTGCCAGTCAAATTCCAAAGGGTTCAAGGTTATACTTTGGGACTGTGTGGAATCAAAGACATAACGTGCACACTTTGGCGGGTTATCGTACGGTCTAGGGCTCGAGGTGTGTTCCATTGAGGAAAGTTGTTCGATAGAAGAGTGGAAACTCTTAGAGACCCAGAGAATAGTGGAGAGACCAAAAGATGAATGTGGGGTGTAGCGAAAGAAGCTATCGCTAAATAACGAATTTGATACACTTGGAAGGTTTGGATAGTCTGTTCTGTCCGTGTAGATTTGTGGAGGTCATTTTAGAAAAGATTAGGGCCGAGTAGTAAAGATTGAAGAGGGAGGTGTGTTAGCATCAATCAGTCAATCATCCATCAATATTGAAGCTCCGAGGACGGATTCCTCGATTTGAGGGATAAATGGGATGAATGTCTGAGAACTTGGGAAGAGATGGAACAACATCTAGAACTTCCGACCAAGACTTAACGATGAGGCTGAATAGATATTATATCTCATGATGAATCAAGTGAGTGATACACTGTCACCACCATTTAATCCTGAATAAATGAAAAATCAGCCTTACACATGAAAATAGATGATCAAGGTAGGTAGGTCATCATGATCCTTATCAACGGCTTTTCCTGCACAAACCCATCTTCATGTAAAGAGGGACGAGGGGACAAAGTGTGGTATAACCACCCCCTCTTGCCTTGATCCGATTCGTTTGGTGAACACAGTCAGTGACCAAAATCAAATCAAAGTTTCTGTTATCCCGAGTGATGATGCAACTCTCCTATCTCCATACCAAGCTCCATAACCGCGTACCGATATCAACGGTTGATAGGTGTCGAGAACACGATCAGGGAAATGAGTTGGAAATGAAGGATGGAAGAGGAAAGTAGATATGATACCTTTTGCTGAACTAATATAGTTTTCATGTTACGGAGAATATCTAAGTACCAGGTAGTGAGTGGTTTGGTACCTTTTGATATATGAGTAAAACTAGTACTACAAATGGTTAGGAAGGAAGCACTGACACAACGATAATACTTAGGAAGAAAATGAATGGGGTGAATGGAATGGGTCTCCAGGAAGAGGGACAGCTAGAGAACCGTGACGGTACGATTGAAGTGTCTGACGAATATGTAGAACGCGACATCAGTGGGTAAGTGGTAGCGGCAGGAGGAGACAGCTAGATGGATGGTACAAATCCTCAACAGGGCAGGTATACAACGAGCAAAGAAAGGAAGAAGCTGGAGATGCATGTAAATAAATATAGAGAGCAGCTTGATATCGACAATAAGCGTTGAAATATAGAAACCGAACACAGTGCTCCCATGACTGGCCGTTCATCTTCACAACAGACCCATGGAAGAAAAGACGATGATGTACGATAGGTATGAATCTCTGCATCAAATGTAGCTTTATGGAATTTCCATTGGTAAAGAGCAATCATTCCTCATTCCTCATCCATCACTTGTCACTCATCACTCGTCACTCGTCACTCATCACTCATCACTCATCACTCATCTCCCTCCTTCTTTCAAGCTTCCTCTCTTTCCCCTCTGCTCGTCCCTTGTCAGCAAAATCCGCATCCACTCCTCATCAAATACACACTACTGCACCACCACCCGAAGTAATAAAATTATCGCAAGATTTCCACCACTCCCAACTCACGGATCTACCAAAAAGAGATTTCGCTAGTGGTAAGAATTGGATCATCCTCGATTCCCTCATACCGGCTCTTCCCACCGAAAAGGGTAACCATTCGCCATTTTTGATTGAACCACCCGCTCATCAAGTGACCACAGGAATTCTTATTAGATGATGATTAGAAAAGAAGAGGGACATTATGGACCTGTTGATTGACCAACTAGGGGGGAGGGAAAGCGAAAGGGAAGAGGAAGAGGAAGAGGAAACGTATGAAAATGGACTAATAACGAAAGGTTGTAAACTTGTATGTGTATTGTATGTGTACGGAGTATGTAAACGGGCAAACTGATAAACTGGCAATCTTGCAAACTGGTAAACTGGTAAACTGGTAAACTTGCAATAACAATAAATTCCTCCTTGGCTATATTTCCTTCCACCCAGTTCAGATCGAATCAGTTACGATATCGTATTCTTTTGTACCCTAGATTACGATTCCCAATTTCATTATTTGACTACCCAGGTGCCCAGGTACTTATTACTACTAACCGTTAAACATTGCCTACCTCTCCTGCCTTAGTATTATCTATCGTACATCCACCATCCACCAAGAAAAAAAAAAGATTAATCTCTTTCCATCCTTTTTTTTCTTTCCCTCCCTCCCTCATTATCGTCACTTACCTAACAACACGATTTTGAACCTCTTTCCGACCTCTCTTCCATCTCCTTTTCTCTCGCCATCAACGAAGGAAATAACGATATTCATTAGAATAAGTTATCCAGCGATATTACATATACACACACATATATATAAATATATATATATTGGTCATTCGGAGTAGTTTTGGTTGTTCCTTTCTCCCAGTCGAATACTTGTTGCTTTATTCCACAAGGTGTTCAGTCTCATTCATTGTTGTTGTGGTTGCTGGATTTTCATTTCCTGGTGAGTTGAACTTTTTTTCTCCTTCATAAAAAAAAAATCTAGTAGTGAGACACAAATTTTCTCTTGCTTCGCTTTTTCTTTCCCCTCCTCCAAAACATCCACACGCCGCTTTCGCTGCTATTACAATATCATTTTTCAATCCTCGGCTACATACGTTCATGCCTTTTTTTCTTCTCCTTGTATGCGCTCCAATCTTCGAGGGATTTTGCCTCCAAGTATCATCTCTAGAGGATCTTGACTTTTCTTCAATCGATCATTACTAATTGCAAGAAATCATTATATAGAATTCCATACTCACGACAATCTTAGTCGTATACGTTCCTTTCACTCAGATCGAGCACCCTGCTAGCCCTCAGTTCTTTCGAAGCATCTATTCGAATTGACAATCTGCCAAAAATGTCTTATTACGATAATCAGCAATGGTCTGCCTCCGGGCAACCTTCTTGGGAGCAACAAACCCCACCTGCTCGCTCTGGTATGTCTGGAAACTCTTCATGTTATCGCCAGGGTGTCAATTAACAGGTGTCACAGGCGCCAGCTCAGTCGTTCCGCGTGAGGACTCCACTGCTTTCAGCACACAAATCGAGGGTACGTTCAATGAAATACACTGGTCGTAGGAATAGGCCCATTCGCCCTTTTTGTCTTGCGCAGGATAGGATTTTGGTGTTTGGGGTTAGGATGGGAATGATCTATATCCTTACATGGTCTCGATGAATGTGCTAGGAATTTCATGATCAAGAAGCTGATGAGTTTGAAAATCTAGAGGTCGACCGTGCCATTGACAATCTAGTCAAGAGTGGGAAAATGTTCAACCTACCAGCGGGTGGTCGTCGTGATTCCATGCCAATGGTTGGTCCTTCGAGAACCTTTCCGGAACAATTCGGTATGCTTCACCTTCAGAGAGGACAACTTGAAACTCTTCAGCCCTAACTCTATTGATTTTAGATCCTCGAATGACTGCTGGTCCTCCACGACACCATTCGGTTAGCGATTTCGGTGATGCTCGGTCCTTCTCGGGATCCAATCTTCAGAATTTCTATGCCAACCAGCGACACCAACCATCGAGAGGCGCAAATGAAGCCGAACAAGTGATGCAGGCGAAGAGGAGAATGGCGGCTCAACGTGAGAGAGAATTGCGCAACTATCATCAAGAGCAGCAATATAATCGAAGTAGGCCACCCTCTTCCAATGTATAAAAGTCTTATTTGTCAAATACCCTGTACCCAGCGGCTCTTACCCAGTGGTTCGTTTTTATCAGTCAAAATTTTGTACATGACTTTTTTCATGACTCTTTTCATCTCGCCTACAACTGTCCTGTGTGAAATTGAAAGAAAAATCTGTCTTTGTTGTTTATCTTTGAGATCTATTATGCACATTTACTGACTGGAATAAGGCGTTACAGCTGAAATCTTGGGAGGCAAACCAGACCGTATCGCAAGCCCAGGTAGCGGTATGAGCGAGGAAGAACGTCGTGAGTTGATTGCCCGTCAGCGAAGTGCTCTCTATGGGGAAGGTCCAGCCTTCAATGCCGAAAATGGCAGTTTCGATGAAAATGGTACCCCGCGCCCAACCAATCAGGGGTCCACCTCGCAAACCCTTAATGCTGCACCAGGTGCTATTAGAGGACACTCGCCTCTTGCCTTTGAGCACTTCAATTCTCAAGCTAGCCAGGCGGAAAACTCAAATCAGCAAAATGCTCCCGAGTCTCAATCTGCCGCAACAGCACAGGCTCCAGGTCAACAACGATCTCGTGCTAACAGCACATCCTCCCCATCGTCCAACCCTACCAGCTTTAGTCTATTCGAATCTGCTGCTCAACAGTCCAGTCGGACTTCGACTTCCTCCCCCGGTGGATCCCCACCACGCCAAGGAGGAAAGGCTCCCGCTAGCGGCGTGGCTCCAATTGGCACTAGACCTAGTGGTCAAGCTGCTAATCCAGCTTTAAATAAGCGATCCACTACCCCTTTGCCATCTCCACTAAGCTATGGCTTTGCTGCTAATGATTCAACTACTGAATCTAAGGATGCAAGAACGACTTCCGCGGCGTCAAACCCCAACCCGCAAGGACAGACTGAAAGTGGATTAGGCTGGGGATCTAAGAGCGGTGTTTGGGGTAACAAGAATCTTGGTGTACAGGCTTCGGTATGGGGATAAATTGGGTATGGGATTATGAATGAACATAGAAAATAGGCGCGAAAGGACAGGGGTATGATTGATTGATATCTGCATATGTTTGCGCGTGGTGGGTGGGAAAGGACAAAAGAATATCGATAATAAGCTTGGCATGGCAGGCGTATGGAACCTTTGCAGAATTTATCGGAAGGCAGGTTCTGGACGGAGGGGAGCGAGTTTTTCACCACCTCGCTATCATGCTTTGCTTTCAGCACATATTGCGGGAGTCTAATTGAATCTCGGCAACGGCCACAAGGGAGGAGTCTGTTACTGTTTTTTTCTCTCTCGGATGTTCAAATGGTAATAACGGGTAGGCATGGATTTTGCTGTTTTGTTTTTGTCTCCTGGCATTTACGGCGAAACAACAATCTGGGGGTCTTGAAGTGGGGTTTGATATTATGCGAGCGTTTTGGTACGGGTGTTTGCTTTTCGTTTCCTACACATGGGGTGTTATGTTTCGAGGTGGGAAAACTATATCAAGGAGGGAGTAAAAATTAAACAACAAATGGAATAGTGGGATGAAACTTGATGATCTCGGGAATGAAATGGAATGGAATTAAAAGCCTCTTGAATCACTGGGGATGAGCGCTTTCGCCTTTTCTGTTGTGTGTTGTGTGCGTGTGAGATTTCTTTGATTTCCTTCGCTCGCTTGTGGTCCGGGTCTTGCGTGAGTGCGTTCTGCTGTGATATCTTGTAGGGTTGGGTCTGGGGCATGTCATGGGATGGCATGGGGCTGGTATTGATGGGATTACCTAGGATTGTCTTTCTTTTAGGGTTTATCGAGGGAGGGGGAAAGATTTGGAAGGGGTCTGTAATTAGGATGTTTACGTATTGGGGAAATGGGTAATGAAATTTGAGTGAATGAGGAGGAGACGGATCAACAGGATGGGGCAGGCCATCAGGCTGGGTACCATATATGGATGGGTTACATACAGAATGACAAATTGATGCGAATGGACACGATTTGGTATATAGGTCTTTATAAGTATCTGTTTTTGCTGTGAATGCAAGTGAATGTTTGAAGATTGATCTGGATGGAGTGAATTTTATGAGTATTAACGATGCCCGTGTCATAAGTTGGTAATTTGTAATTATACCTAGGTAGACTTGAAGAGTGTGTCACGCTCAGAATTAAAATCTTCTAATTACTGAATATTTCTTTTTCCTTCCGTTTGAATGACCCGTTGACTCACATGATGGCTTTGGGATCTACATCTCTGGATTCTGATATACATTAGGCACATGGCATGCTTGGTATAGAGATCGAGATAGGATGCAGGTAGGGAGTTTTGATACTGCGTTTTTCGATACTGCGCGGCATGCTCGGTTTCACTGTTCACGCATTTTTATGGGGAATGGAGTGACGAAATCGGGTTAGGGAAAAGTGTCGGTACCCAACGAAACTCAATTCCACAGGCCGCCGGGGCGATGGGTGAAGATGGGAGGATGGAAATGGGGAATATAGGTACTGGTATGCTGGTATGGGAGAGTAGGTGTGATGTAATGTGATGTGATGTGATGGGATGGGAGTGAAACATTGAGTTGGGAGTTACGGCACCTAAGGAGAGGCGGGCGAGATGTGGTTGGGGAGTCGCGAGAGACATCATACGATTTTTCCGAGGCGTGTTTTGGAGGTACTCGGTACCTAGGTAGTGTGTGTCTACGGGTATGGACGATGCAGGGTTGGGAGGTGTGGCGTGCGAGGAAATGGGAGATGGTGTCTGGGAGATAGGGCGCAGAGATCAGAGAGAGGTTTGATATGATATGATATGATATGATGTGCGTCTTCCACGTTGGGGGATCGTCGTGCCGCGAGGTTCTAGATGGTTGGGTGGTGCTGGTGGAAGGATGGATGGGTGGGCGATAGGGATGGGCAAATTACATAATCTTAGGGTTGATTATATAATTTCATATTATTATATTTTTTGAGTGTAATGAAATATTATATCAAGTTTATTTATATATTTCCTTAACTAATTAAATCAATAGAATAAATGAAAGTGGAGCTAATTCTGGAAAAATTTTAGGTGGGTGGTTGAAAAATTTAGTATGAGGGATAGATTTTAGAATTCTGGATTATTAAGAAATTAAAAAATTCCTTTAATTAATTAGATTTATTTATTTCTATTAATATATTCAAAATCTCTTTCAAAATTTTATTTCTAATCCTTTTTTGTATTTTTTCGATAATAGTATTGTTATTGCTTAATCCTTATTTATTTATATTTTATTTATTTATTTAGTATAATGGTTTATAATAAGCAAGTTTTTATTAAGTAGTTGTTCTATAATTATTATTTTGATTGTATAAAAGTTAATAAAGAATATAAAGTCGATTTGGTAAGGTATAAATTCTATAAATTGATAAAAACTTAGAATATTATTCAATTTCAAAGTCGATATATCGAAAGATGCTTTAAATATTTTAGTTGAAAGGCAAAACAATTTTGTATGATTGCTTTCTTTATTGATTTCTTCAAAAACAATAATATTTCTATCGAAATTCTATTTGTTAAAGTTATTTTCATTTCAACTTTGTATTTATTATTTTATAAAATATTTAAATGGAAAGTATTCTTTTAATATATTCAATTCATTGTTTCTAGTTGTAAGATTTTGAGTATTAAATTACTTAATACTATTTATTTGAATATTAAAAAGCAGATTAGTGTTTTTACTGACATTATCTTTTATATTCAATTTATTAGTAATAGGAGTACGAATATTATAAAGATTTGTATTGAAAATGTTTTTTTTATGATTGAAATATAATTATATTATTGGAAGAATATTATTATTAGTAATAAACCTTAAGATGTTGAGTTTACTTTTAATTATATTGTTGTTGTTATATAAGAGATTATTAAAGGTAATTTGTTTAAATGGTATATTTTCTTATCTGATATATATTCTATATAATGCAAATGCTGAATTTTAATGAAAGATAATCTTGAATTGAAGTATATTTATTTTATTCTTTGTAATTTATATAATTTATAGTTTATATTTAAAAATCTCTTATTTCCTGATAAAGATTAATATAGGAATCTTATCGAGATAGCTTTTGGCTTTTTTTTTAAAAAAGCTAATAAGGTTATTATATATTTTATGAAATTTTTTAAAGAGTTCTTTTTCTTGAGATTTATTATAATTTTAAATTATAATAAAACCTTTACATTAATCAAAATAATACCTATAAGATAGGGTATACAAGTTTATATATTTAAATCAATTTAAAGAGTTCAGCTTGCTTTTCAAAACTATTTTTGTTATTCCAATATTGTGTATTATTTCGATTATATTCTTTTTAATATCATATTCTAACAAAAGCTTCAAATAGTTTATTTTGTTCTATACTTTATTTACAAAGTACAAAAGATATTGGAATCTAATAAAGTTATATTAGTTTGTATTTGCTCATATTGGATTGAGATTAATACTTATTTTCAATGTTTTAGAATAGAAGGTATAATCTCTTTTTTTATAATATTGAGAATTATTGTTTAAGAATAAATAAAGAAGAATAGAATCTATATATAAATTTATAATTATAATCTATTTATATTATTTTATATATTTTCAATCCTTTATATTTTAATAAATATCTTATATCCTTTTTTGAGTAAAAGCTTGAAGCTTATATTAGAAAGTTACTTAGAGAATTCGAATTTATTAATTTCCTAATATTTTGTTGACAAACTAATCAATTTAATATTACTAAATCTTATTAGCAGATAACAAATTCTAATATATTCTAAGAAATTGTAATAAGTTAAGACTTTTTTCTTATATTTTGAAACTTTTTTCTTATATTTTGAAAATCTTTATTAATATTCAATTATATTTAGAGATATAATATATCTCTTTTTTCAAAATTAATTCTCAATCTTTTAATTATTACTATAAATAATATACTATCAAAAAGAGTATTTTCTTATATAAATTTCACTTAAATGAAATTACGAAATCGATTTTTTATTGAAACAATAAATAAATTGATATTTATATATATGAATTTATAAGTATTGTATATTATAAAGGAGAAGGTTGATTTTCTTATATATATATATAAAGGAATGAAAGAGGATATAGCTTTTAATTTGAAAAATGATATTATTGATGATATTAGTTTAGGCTTTAAGGTTGATAATATTATTAAAAATTTTAAGGAAATAAATCTATTAGTAAATAACTTCTTAAATGATTTCTTCAATCTTTGATAGTTTAATTAAATTCAAAGCTTTTTTTTCAAAATAACTTCAAAATCCATTCAAAAATCTACTTTCTATATTAAAAATAATGCGATTTGATTAATATTATGTATTATATTGAACTAACGAATATACAATATTATATACTATCAAAAATCCCAACCCTAGTGGGCGAGGATCGGTTGCGGGAGTTGAGGGAGGAGGGTTGGGGCGTGCGAGGGGAGGGGATGGATAGGTGCTGCTGCTGCGCTATGGGGTTGGTTAGGGTATGTAGTGCGATGCGGTGCAGTGCGGTGCTTCCGCTTTCTGGCGTGGATGGAAAAGATCCTAGTAGTGGTTTCGCAGGGCTTGGTGAGGGTTTGATAGCTGATTGAGGGGTTCGATTGGAAGAGAGGTGGGAGTAGATAGTAGTCCTCTGGGAGAAAGTTGGGGAATTGTAGATCTGTGGCCAAAGACCGAGGTGAGGAAGAGGTGAGGAAGAGGAGAGAGAGACTTTGGATTGGGAGAACAGCAACAGCAACTGTACATGTAATGTAATAGGCAAAAAAGGAAAAAAAGAGCAGGGGGAAATGATGTGCCATTGCTTCTTATTCTTCTTCTTCTTCTTCTCCTTCTTCTCCTTCTTCTGCCGGGGTCATGTTCTAGCTGGTCCGGTTCGGTTCTTTTGCTTTTATGGAGTACACAGATGGGCATAGACCAGTGAAATTAGATTTCTGATAATGTGCTGGCGTGGGCAAAAGGCGAGATTAGCAGTGATTAATTATTAGGTGGTTATTAGGTGGTACGGAATACGGAATATTGAGATTTGCATGGTAAGTTACGATGACGAAGATGGGAATGGGATGGAAAGAGGAGGTAGCTAGGTAAGGGAAGGTAATAAGGTAGGTAGGTATATAATATGTTTGCATGTATGTATGTATCTATCTATGTATGTATGTATTTACTGCTTGGTCTATAATTTCCTTTTAATTCGTCGATGATATTCACTCTGTCTGGACCTCTTTCCCTCTTTCCCTCCTTTCCAATGATAATAAATAAATAAATAAATACATACATAAATATTTACATTGCGACGACAACTTGCCTTATTTACTTCACCCGCGATACCGAGTAGGTACACAACGCAACCCATCCACGAAATCAACGCCATTACTGTACCTACCCTTCCACCCTTTTACCCTTCTACCCTTCAATCAAAACTTCCGAATGTCGCGTGTAATCATTGTACAGCATTATATTTGAACCCTCAACGACCTCACGCGCATCCAATCGCTTTCTCGAGAAAGTTTCACTCATCACAAAAGATCAAGATTCAATTCAATCTCAAAAATAAACGGCAGGATTTGACGACTTTACTTTCTCACAAGGCTATTAGGCCCGAGGAGAAGAATCACATTCAACGATTCCAAATGACGATAGGAGATTTCAAAACACGATTGAGAGCGAAATTTCAACGACGACATTCACATGCTTCCTCGGTAGGGTCCGCGAATAATGATGAGGAAAAGAATCCTTCTCGAGAGGGAGAAGAAGACAAGAATCAACAATCGATAACTCGAACTTTGCGAGAAAGGGCGAGTTTCAGATTGCATCGAACATCGATATATGGAGGGTCAACAAATGGGTCGTCAAGGAATGGTACGGGTACGGGTTCTGGTAATCGGAATAGTATGGTTGAAAGTCGTAATCAAAGTCCAAAAGAAACATCAAGGTTTGAAGAGGTAATTCAGGTTGAAGTTCATGATAATGATAATATCAGTATCGAAGGAGGCGGAGGGGACGGAGGGGAAAGAGGAAGAGGAGGAGGAGGAAGAGAAGGCCACCAACAGGGAGATGGAATTGGCGCCGAACTAAGGTTAAACTTTCGAAATAGTATGAGTAGCGATCTGCAACAACAACTTCATCAACATTCACAGACAACCTCTCCATCAACACCAAATTTCAAACAACAACCTTTCGCCAATTCAAAATTAATTATCGAAGAAGAGAATAATAAGCACGATAGTTTTTCCACGTCAACAGATTTTCCAACTCCGAATACAGATATACCGCGGGTGTTGGAAGAAGACGAAGAGGAGGAAGCAGAAGCAAAGGATGAAATTCAGGACGAGCCGCATCCAGAACCTACAGACGTGAAATTTGGCAATTCGATACCGCAAAGCCCTATCAGTTCCAACAACACTACTCATCAACCTACACCTCGGAAACCCGAATTATCTAGACGACAAAGTTTACTTCCCCATCAACAAACAAAATTAATCAAGACATTATTGGAAACAGAATTGCCAGCACAACCTCGAGTCAGCAGCATACCAACGGGAGGAATTCTTGGTGCTGATTATTTTTCCAATCACGGAGCTTTAACGATAAGCGCAGCGATGGTTACTCGAAAGATATGGGTTAAAAGGCCCGGTGCTTCTGCGACATTAGTTACAATACATGAGGATGATTTGGTCGATGATGTGCGAGATATGATTTTGAAGAAATATGCGAATTCGCTGGGAAGAAGTTTTGATGCGCCGGATGTTACATTAAGGATTATACCCAGAGAGCAGCAGAGGCAGGAAAGGATTTTAGGACCAGAAGAGCCGATGAGTCGAACACTCGACGCATATTTTCCCGGTGGTCAAACAGTGGATGAAGCGTTAGTAATTGATGTACCCGTTAGAAGAACACCCAAACCGTCTCCTAGGCCCAATGGACATCCGGTATATTATGAAGAAGGACGGCCTACCGAAGCTGGATCTGATTACTTCCCACCTATGCCATTACCGGTTCCTTCTCCAGGCTTATCGCATAGTGTCCCGGTCCCTAATGGAAACCAGAATACGGCTCCCTTGATAGCACACGCTATGTCCGTACTTACAACTGGTCATGTACCGGCCTTACCTTCTCCATCGGCTCAGAGAAGACATCATAGCTCGAGACCAAGGATAGGACGAACTCATACTTCTTCTCCTACAGTCATCAGTGGACACAGTCAACCCCCTGTTACAAATAATGGTACGCAATTTCAACGTGGCCCAAGATCAAGAACTCACTCAAGTGCCTCAGAAAAATCCGCAATTCCCCCTCCCCCACCACTTCCAACACCACCTCCTCCAAACCAGGAACTCGCACCACAACGAGTCGCTACACCTCCTCCCAGGGTATCGTCCCCCCGGCCACAGAAGAGAACTAGAAAGAAAGCTGGTGTCGATCATCCTTCTTTACCAGCAGGCATGCTCAATGGTGCAGTCCCCCCAATCAATGTCCTCATCGTTGAAGATAACATTATCAATTTGAAACTTCTGGAAGCCTTCATGAAACGTCTCAAAGTCCGCTGGCAAACTGCAATGAATGGTCGCGAAGCCGTGAATAAGTGGAGAGGCGGTGGTTTCCATTTAGTACTAATGGATATCCAACTTCCCATCATGTCCGGACTCGAGGCCACAAAGGAGATCCGCAGACTGGAGAGACTCAATAGTATTGGAGTTTTTAGCAGTAGTGCAAGTAGTAGTGCACCTAGCGAAAAAATGTTGGCGGAAGAGGAACCAGAGGAAGGTGATAAATTGCCAGATACAGTACTATTTAAGAGTCCGGTCATCATTGTAGCTTTGACGGCTAGTTCGTTGCAGAGCGATAGACACGAGGCTTTGGCGGCGGGTTGTAATGATTTCTTGACAAAGGTTTGTTTATTTCATTGTAATTCGTTTACATATATGATATTTTGAATAATGTACTAACACGCTTTCAAACAGCCCGTTAACTTCGTCTGGCTCGAACGTAAAGTTATGGAATGGGGATGTATGCAAGCATTGATCGATTTCGATGGTTGGCGCAAATGGAAAGATTTTAGTTCACAACAAGCAGCGGAAAAAGAGTCTGCTGATGCGAAGAAAAAGGATGCTCAAAGCGTTGTGAAGGCGAAGAAGAAGAACAGAAATTCAATGGGTAGTTTGGGAGGATTAGGGGGTCAGGGGGGAAGTAGTTCGAAATTGAGTTTGTTGGGTCAGGGAGGTGGAAGAGTAGAAGGGGAAGCTGTTGTTGGGTGATTGGGAAGATTGAAGAAATACTTTATTTATGGGGTCGCAGAACAGGTGGATACTCTGTTTTGACACAGACATGGCACTGGCATTTAGCATGAGAGGATTTTCATTTGTTTCATTTTTCATTTGTAGTAGCATTACTTGGAGGGAGGAAGTTTTACTTTTTCGCTTGTCCAGTGAATTTTGGGTTGAGGGCTGTGAATTAAGCGTTTTGGGTTCGGAATATAATGGGATGGAGCTCAAAATATACACGTGTCGTGAGACGGCGGGACGACTGGCGTTTGGGGTTTGGGTGAAGTGCTGATGGAACTTTCTTGATTGAATTTTCTTTGAGAGGATTTTCTTTTCTTTTCTTTTTTTGAAGAAGGGCTTTAGGTGGGAAGAGGGGATGGGAGAAAAATATTTTCGTGGATATCGAAGCGAGAATGGAAGCGAGGGGGGTAGGAAAGGGTGGGACAGGGTGTAGATTGAGATGAGGAGATGGGAAGCGCAGGGAAGGGAAGGGAGAGTTGAAGTGGAATGGAGTGGAGTGAAGCACATAGCGTATATATGTATGGATAGAAGAGCGAGTTATTCTGTACCTTGAATGATTCTTGATTCTTGATTCTTGATCCTTGATTTGAAGGGGAACGAAGGAGGAGAATTGAAATGGAATGGATTGGATTGGAACGGAATGAAATGGAATGCGTGGGAATTGTGGATTGATAAATAGATTGTTGAAATGCTATTTTTTTGATGGGTTTTTGATTGTTGTGATGTTGTGATGTTGTGATGTTGTGATTTCTTGATTCATTGCTTATTGATTTTTAGAAAGTAGGTAGGTAGGTATTATATTATGAGTAGAATTCGGTAGGAAGTGGTTTGTTTGGTTTTGGGAGGGAAATGGATGGGTATAGAATGTGTGTATGTGTATGTATGGAGGAGAGGGGGAAAGAGAGTAGATGGATGGATGGGTGGATGGATGGATTGTTAAGTTGATAGGTTGATGAGTATGGGGTAGGGTAGATGGGTGGTGTGTGATGAATAATGAAGAATGAGTGAATATCTAGAAGTGTTTTTGAAATATGTATGTATGTCTATATGTATATATATACGGGGTAGGTTAATTGTGGTTTAATATATAGTTTATTCTTTTTTTCTATATTATGTTTTTGGGTGTAGTGGTTAGTACCTAGTTAGTAGTTAGCGAGCGAGTACGTGTGCGCTTGTCAGGAGGATGTTTCTCGGATTTCTGAATTCTTTCCTGGTTTTTTTGTGGAATATTTGGGGTGGAAGATTTGGGAGATGGATAAGGAAAGAGAAATGTAGTTAGTGGTTATTTTGGTAAATATCATGTCATGTCATGTTGTGGGCTGGTTTGGGAGTTGGATGGGAAGATGTAAGTTGGTTGGAGGTTGTGTGGGAGTGGAGGGATGGGGGACCACCACTTGGAGATGGAATGGGATGGGGGAATGGGGTGTAGTTTTAGATATGAGGAAAGAAGAGATTTGAGGGGAGATGTGTGATTGTGCAGGGTTATGGATAGAGATGGAAACTAATGAAGATGGAGAGGAGAGAGGGTAGTTGATTAAAGATAGAGAGATCAGAGAAGTGGACTTGGTTGTTGCTGTTGAAGCACCTATGGAGATATTGAGGAACAAAGAGCGGGTAGTTGGAAAGTGGAGAGATATTTTTGGAGGATCATTGAGGTGTTCATTGTTCGATTTCACAGAGGTAAATGAGAGTTGGAGGTTTTTTTTGAGGAACAGATGGTAGCTGATGAGAAGCTAAGAAGTCTTGAGTCTTAGTTGGGAATGTTTGGTTCAGAGATTAGAGTAAATGTCATGTGATGTCCAAGGCGATACGCTTTCCATTGAAAATAGGACTATTGGTCATAAGGTTGGGTGTGATGTATTTCCAATACACACAAGTCTATGGTTCTCAAAACTAATGAATGGCGATGACTTCAACGCCATGAAATAGTTCGGCATTTTTTGTCCCATACACGAAAGCTAAATTTGCTGTGGAGTAACAGTCAACCCATGCTTTACCAAGATATGTGCAATGTTGTACAGTAGAAAAGCCGTCGAATCTGGTGTCAATCTCTGCACGGATACCCTTGCTGTATGTTTCGTTTTTAACATCTTCTTTTGGTCGAAACATACAGCAGTTTTGGCTATTTTCGCCCCTTAATTCGGTAAGGGTGAAATCACCTTGTTCCGTTGCAGGAGGCACAACACCGACGTCCCTACTAGGGTAAAAACTTGCGAATTTCATCCCCCGAAATATGTCTAGGCTAGCTTTGCCTCTCAAGGCAATGATAATTATGTTGATGAGAAAGTTTGAATACGGCTTGCTTGGGCTTTTGAAAGAGTCAAAAGTATACATCGAATCTCGCGTGAAATTGGATAAATAACCGATCACAGCATCTTCTGGATACCAAGGAAGGTCTTCGGATGTAATCGGATATATACCTGCTGCTCCCAAGCTTTCCCAAAGAGAACAAATCAGTCGAAAAACGTCCTTATGTTCAAGTTGGTGCTGCATCCCCGAATCGTCCCTCAACTTGAACATATTTATGACAGATTCAGTTAATTTCTGTCTAGCAGATTCGTATGCCAGCTCATCTTCTACTACTACTCGGGCTACCTTTTCAACGACTTGTAGTTCGTAAGAACTACCGTCATACACAAAAGACAAAATATGTGGATAAACGGGTATGGAGTTCAGCTGCAATATCCTTCTTGAAATTCCGTTTATTGTTATTGATATCGATTTTTCAGCTTGCGTGTCCTCACAAATATTCCGAATATCAGTCTCGTCAAAGAACCAAGGAAGACCCTGAAGACTGCTTGTATCCAGCGTCCAGTCTGGTACCCAAGAAGGAAGATTGCTTCTTCGAGTGTATGATGCGTTCACGTCTGCATTATACAGTATCTTCAATAGGCCATGTATAGACCGAAAAGAAGAGGTAAAACGGGCGGCTTCATTGAGAACATCATCCACACTCTTAGTATAATCTACGACAGGGATGTAATTTTGTGGGCTCCGGCTGCGAATTAATGGCCATGGTACGGAGTCATTGTTTCTCTCATATGTGCGTTTGAGCTGAAGGTCCACGACAGCCAGATGGCCGTATATTATGTCTCTCAAATCCGAAGCCTTTGAACCTCTTCGAGAAATCAGAACATCCAGAAGGGAGATCACTCTTCCTCCATACCTTAAGCAATTCTGATAGTTTCTCCTTGCCTCATACATATTCCACAGTAATCGGTAGCTTTGCGTATCGTGATTATGTCGGGTCTCTATATCTGTCCAACAAAACCTCGCAGAGATAATCCCAAGGAACTCGCAGTCGCCCAACTTGCACGAATACTACGTTTGAGAGCACTAGTTCTTGATACACCCATACCCTAGTGAACCATGGTCGTGACACGATATCTTTAATTGCGTCATCGTCCATTTCTAGAAGCTTAGTTCTGTCCGGATCTAGTTGGTTCATGAGCTCAAATAAACTCTTCGTCTGCTCTACCAAAGCTCCTAAATAGATCTCTGTGGTCTGCGCATAGCTATATACTTCTTTCATCAAGCCAACTTGCTGGCTACGTTCGACGTTGTTCGTCTGGTTGATGCAAACAGCATCGGCCCATAACCGTAGTTGTCGCTTCTCATCCCGTAAATCATGTAAAGCTGCGGCGAGATTCACGGTAACAGCAAATTGAAATCCATCAACAAAAATGTAGGTTGTATCATTGGCATCGCCCCAAACATAGGAAAGAGCCGTGTAATTCCCATGAATTTCGCAGCGACATTCACGTAATGTTGTGTGTATAAGATCGCTTTGAATTGGGGACCCTAATGTGCCTGGGTGGAGGATTAAAAGTCGAATCGAATCAGTCTCTGACAGGTCGTCGTACTGAAATTTACCGGAATAAGTAGACATTTTGATAAAGATTATCCATTATCTAGGGGACCTTTGCAATAACTTTGTTTAATAGTAGATAGCCTGGTGCTGACAACTTCGAATAGCACGGTGAAAATTCAGGCACGCTTGCCTTGAGGTAGAAATGGTATGACTTTCTTGGTGTAGTCTTATATGCTGTGTACACTACGCATTTGGACATCGCACCAAAAATACTTGAAAGCGTTGCATAAGCCTGAATATAGCCTGCATGACTTCGGGTTCACAGATGCTCAAATGGCCTCTATAAACCCCATGTTACGATGGAGGAGCCACGCCCTTCAGTTCTCTAATCAAGCTACCCATCCCTGGAAATAGCTTCCTTCCAGCATTTCCCAGCTCAACCCACTTTTTCGTTTCTTCCCAACTCACCCACTCCCACCCTCTACACTTTTCCTTCTCCATCACTCTTGGCCCATCCCCTTTCCCATTCCAGACTCCTACCATAAAAATTGACACAAAATGTCTTTTCTCCTCCTTCATTATCAGGTTTCTACAACGGAAGAACTTTAGTTCTTTGGGTGGAATGTATAACCCGGTTTCTTCCAAAACCTCCCTGGATGCACCTTCTTCAAAAGTTTCGCCGAATTCTAAGTGTCCGCCTGGAAGACCCCACGTGTTGGCTGCAGTCGAATTAATGCGTTCGCCTAGGAGATACATAGGATTCTCGCGGGTGGAAAGCGGGTGAGTAGGATCGATGATAAATACTCCAAGACCAACGAGGGGAATGGGCGGTGTGGTCGATGATGATTTGAGCGATGGTGAGGGTGACATGTGAATGTGACGGTGGCTTAAGGTCATTGGTTTCGTGGTAAGAGCTGGGACACTACTTCGAGAGCACTGAAGCAGCGTACCGTAAGAAGGTTTTCCTATTCTTCCAATCATGGTATACTGTAGTATGAAAGATGCCCAGAACTGTATTTGGTTCGATTTTTTGAATTGTATCGTGCTTGGTAAAGTGGGAAGCAGTATTTCTTAGTGGTAACACTAGGGCCTTCGGAAGCTCTTTTCACGATTTTATCAAGAAGTAAAAAGAAAGCAGACTTCAATCGGTATAATGAACATCTGGCTTGCGTTTCTACTTTTGCTAATTAGAAACCTAGCTATTGCCTACTAGGTAGGTACTCCATGTACGATATATAGTTTTATCTCATAATAATAGATATCTACCCTACCGAGCCTACGCTATTCGCAGGAGAAAAAACAGGCGGGATTCGACCACTTCTACAACACCTTTTATAATTCAATTACTTTCCTTCAGTATTATATAAAATAAAATTTCGAAACATTATCTAAACAATAAGGAGCTAAAATCTCTTTTGATCTTTTTGAATTTATATAAATCATTTGTAAATGATTTATTATTCAATTAAACTAGAAGATTTTAATAGAGATTTAAATTATCAAATTCCGCCTGTTTTTTCTCCTGCGAATAGCTACGCACCTGCCAAATGAACAGCATTCGCCGCTTTTAAAATGCTGTTCTGATAGGTACTCATAGTTACATAATCTATTACAGTTCTCGCTTAGACAGGTTAGATCGTTCAATTGACAGATGCTTTCATTTGACAGGCTCGCAAGTGGATGCGTACGTACAGCTGTAAATCAAAAGCATGGTGATACATGGCTGACATCGATTATTAACGGAAAATTACACAAGAGCAGCCCGATCTTACACAGAGATTCTTGCTCAGAGAGCTTGAACCCCAAAATGATAGCAAACTATGTTTTCACACCATTGCCTGACGGTTGTCGCAAACTTCGACTGAAAGCAATATTCCAAAATTCTGAAAATGCAGCTCAGCTCTCCTCGGCGTTCAAGAAACGAGGATACATCCAACAGTCAGGATGAAAGTTTAGCCAACACGCAGCCATCCGCTGGTATCCATGGAGAAGGAAAGAAGGTTTCTAAACGTAAAAGAGGATGTTTGATAACGTCAAATGCATGCAACAGTTGTAAAAGAGCCCGATCAAAGGTATATAGTCTGCAACATTGGAAGAGCGAAAATACTACAAGCCAAAGTTTAATTTACTGACAGTTCCGTTCAGTGTAATGGCGAGCAGCCTTGCAGTCGTTGTATCAAAAGATTCCAAGCTGGAGAATGCTTCTATGGAACTCATACCAAAATTGTAAAGGAGAAACTGGTCGAATCCCTCAAAGAGAGCCATGCAATCAACCGTATGGCAGAACGGGTGTTTGAAAGCCTCGCAGTAGCGGATGATGAACGCAAAATCCTCAATCGGATAAGGAACAGGGACTCTATTCAAGATATAGCACAATGGCTAGAAACCACTGTCGATGTCAAAGAGCAGCTATCTACGTTACGAATTGTTGACAATGAAGTTGATGGTCTAGATACATCAGGTTTCCATTGGACAACAGTAACAGCAGATAAAGATGTTCTTCATCACTTATTCTCCTTGTATTTTACTTGGGTTCACCCTTCTCATTCCTTATTCAATGAGCAGCATTTTGTGAATAGCATGCAGAATAATTCCAATGAATTCTGCTCGCCCCTTCTGTTCAATGCTATCTGCACAATGGCATGCTATTTGCATACAATTTTGGAAGGCGACAAGACGAATTACAAGGAGCTAGGCCAGAGATTTGCTGATGTGGTAAAGCACAATATCGATGCCGAAGACATGAGTCTCATGACTATACAGGCTTTTGCAATTCTCTTCTTGATAGACTGTGCACAAGGATATGGAATGCATGCTTCAGCATACTTGGAAGTCGCAAGTAACTCATTAATGAATTTGGAACATATCGGCCTTGGCAGTGAGGCGTACCGGCAAGTTTGGCGTGACACCGTCGTTGGCATTAATAACTTAAATATGTAAGTTAATGACTTTTCAACAATTCAGCCCAATTGAGCATGTATTTTATCATAACTAACAGTTTTAGTGAGTGGGCTCAGGTAACTTTTAGGATGCCAGCGGCTCTCATTGTAGAGGTTCCTGCAACGAAATCCATTGAAGAAATCCAAAAAAACGAAGCCGAGATTGATAGTATGATATGGGGAATGTATAGATACCCCAAGGATGATGATACCGTCACGAATTGCCACTGCCTCATTGCAACAACCAATCGAGAGAAAATGAATCTTATGGCCATAATTCGGACTACTAATATTCTAATGTATAATACCGACAGCTCTCGAATAGTGGCCTCAGAAATTCTGCATCTCTATGGCAAATTGGTAGCTTGGCGTGAATTTCTGCCAAGCATCATCAGTAAGACAGATAACAAAGACACTCATATATTGCCACATGTGCTTTCGCTTCAGTAGGTTCAAACGACTTCCCAACACAATGTCACACTCACTAAATGATCAGTTTGTTATACGCTACAGCTGTTGTCCAGCTCCTCTATCCGCTTCTGGACCTCGGACTGTTCGATACCTCTTGTCTAAGTACAATCGTTTGGCAACACGCACAACAAGGTCTTGCTGTCGTTGATAGCTATCGTGCTCACTATAGTTGTGCCTATCAGCCTGTCTTACAAGTATTCGCTATACTGAACCTGACAGATGTCATTGTTCGATTTTTCCCCAAAATCAATAGAGAACTGGGAAAAGATGATGAAGAAGCTGTTAAACTTGCTACAGAGGTATTGGAGCAATCTCTGTTAACTTTCCCTGTAGCTGCAATATTTAGGGAAAAGTTTCGGGAAATCACCAAGAAGATCTTGTTTCCTTGGCCAAGCAATCTGGATAATCTCTTATATCACAAGAGAAGTAAATCAAGGTCCCTTTTGGACGGAGTCATTGATGCTTGTACCAGGACCACCTATATTCAGCCTATCAATTCTATACAGAAAAGATTTGCGACAGGCATACAATCGAACTGGTCGATGTTATCCTCCGGATTAGGCTTTGCAGGGCCTTCTCAAAATGCTTCTACACTGCAACAGCCGCTTGACAAAAGAGCTATGCAAAGCCTTCATTATGTACTTGATTTCCCAATCAAGGGATTAAGCAAGCCATGATATAATCTTTCAATCCTGCAAAGCATGGGTTTAAGCTATTTGTAAGAAAGGAGATCACAAAGTTTGTTGATATGGTTTCTGGGCAAGAGTGTGTACTGTCTGGTGCTAAACTGCACATCACCCAAGGGGAGCGAAGAGAGCATTAAAATAAACACAGCGAAGTATACGAGTCGCAATTTAGGTATATGGTTTGTCTTGTATGTCAAGGTCTCTATTTAGATCAAAAGACAGATCGATTATGAATACGCATTTCGTCACATAGTTTTTCCCCTTTCAGTTCCTATCGATGGTCGCATTATAAGACAATCTATTTACTTCACTTGAAATCCTAAATTCTTTTCTCAATATTCTTTCATCCAGCAATGCATTTGTCCACTTCCACCGGTCGAATTCATTGTTAAGCATGTAATCAAGCTATCTAATTCAGACTCCTGTGCTTTGGAAGTCCAAAATCTACAGAAATCTCCAAACTATGCCTTGCCTCCAGCCTATTCCTCACCGCTGTCATTAACCCTCAAATCTTCTTCTTCTTCTAACTCTCAATACCACTCCCTATACGAATATCCTTCTTCAGCTGTTCCAATACTTCCTCTTCACTCTCTGCATATATCAAAAGCATTATTCCTTTGATCCGCGGCTGCCCGCTTGTCATTACACCATCTAAATCGGAAAATGTACCACCAAACAGAAGAGTTTCTACTTCAATGAAAAGTTTGACACCAGAAATATACTGCAGGTACACTTCGAAATAATCTTGAAGAATTCCAAGATGATCTAGAATAACGGCGAGCCACTCGTGTCTTCATTAAGATCATTGTAGAGAGCAACATTTTGGACATAATACTTTGTTAGTATTTTGGATTACAAAGTTGAGAATGGGAAAACTAAGGAAAGTCTTGCAAGATTATTTTATATTTCGGTCAGAAAGAAAGCTAAGCCTTGCGTCGCGTGAGAAAACGGAAAAGCACATACTCATCTGCACTTACATGGTACGAACATCCTTCGGCAGAAGTCATCAGTTGGTAGCGGGGGCATCTCTCACTCAAATTGTTGTGCAACGCAGTGGTCTGAAATGGTGAATATTGATGATTTTGTTGCAGATGAAATAAGTTTCATCTGGCTAAACCCTAGATCTTATACTGGGGTCTCGAATTCCCTCTTTAATATCATATGCAAAAGTACCACCGGTATTTCTTTTTCATGACTACAATACGTGTGCAGACACTCTGAGAAGATCGCGAAAATTCGGTTATTTCATTCTAAGAAGCGTAGCCAAGTTATTGCCGCACAATATCAATACAATACGATTATCCTTAGCTCGCTGCCAAGAAATGCTTGATTGAAGTAGACCGGTAAAGCTTCGCGAGTGCAGTTCCCACTAAACTCAGTATACATAGTTCGGAGTTTACATGGCCAACTTGTGTGTCACCTCGTGATGAGAATGGGGGGGACAATCGTTTAGCACCAATCATGCGAGTCACCAAACTAGTCTTCAAGTATCATATATGAAGTTTCTACAAGATTTCCGTTCTTCTTTGTAACATGACATTTTCATAACTGGAATTTCAGAACCTCCGCAATCATCCTTAGCACCTTGATTGTTCTTTGCGTTGTCCTGAAGAACCTTATCAGAGAATTCAGTGCAGGTCTATCTGAGAAGCCTTGATCAAATCCACCCCAGGCGAATGTCTCAATTGTATCGACCTTTTTTTGGGTGCTCAAGCCTTCAACGTTGCCTTCGATATTTGCATTCTAACACTCCCAATAAATGCTATTTATAAGCTTCGCCTTTCGTTTCGCAAGAGAATAGGTGTGATGGCAATCTTTGCAGTTGGTGCATTGTAAGTCACTCTATCTATCATATATTTTGTGGTCCGGGTTAACCATTGATAAAGTATTACAATCGTCGCGATTATCTGTCTTGCTGTTATCTCGAGCGAAGTATTGGAACACGGCTCAGCTTTGCCAGACGTCACTTGTGAGTTACACATCTGCAAATATATCAATTAGCTGTCACTGACTTGGCTTCACAGGGTTCACAAGCAAGTTCTCATGGACGGTAATAGATCCTGCCGTAGGCTGCTTTGTGGCATGTATGCCGACCTATTCACCACTTGTCAAGCCTCTGAGACATGTTCGGGATTACGTGAGCCTAGTAGGCGTATCGTGGACTCGTTCATCTAATGCCAGCCGGAAAGGAACGACCAAAATCGAAGATAGCAATGCGGATAACTTCTATCTTGCAAATTACAAACCGGCTGGCACAAGAGAAGTAACGGTGGCCAGGAAATCCTCAAGCATCAACTCTCGACAAGAACTCCATCCTGTTCCAGGAACCGTAACAGTGAAGAGAGATTTCACTCGGGAAGACCATAGGGAGGATAACTGGTGAATCTACCACCCGGTCAATGCTGCATAATACACTGTATAGTGATTACAGTATAATGACAATCTGTGTCTTTGTAGGAAACATTTTGAAACCACCGGGATGATAAATGGAAGAATTAGAGATGAAATATTATGTACACGACGATGGGTAGCCTGAAGACCGAAAATAGTCCACTTGAGAAAAGTAAATAACACTTATAATTACCACGAATCTCGGCTTGAATAATGTCCTTCCACTTCTCACGCACCAATAGGTGTATGAACTGACGGGACACTCATCAACTTTCAAAATCTGTACCGAACCCATTTTTCAATTGATTGATATCAGAATCTATCTCTTTAACATTCAATCTTTAGGAAATTGTTGCAAGAATTCTCAAGACATTCGAACCAAGACTTCAAGAGATGTTATCAGGTCAGTTTTTGCAGTGCCGCGCCATTTCGTACACCATTATTCGGAATCTGTCCGCATCCATCCTGGTTAGATTATGCTATTGCATTGCATATAGTTAATTAGGCAAGGTGCCGGGTAAGCGCACATGACAAATACATTCTCTGTGCCGCATGTGCCACAACCCTTGCACTAAATCAGACGGAGTATAAAATGAATCTCAATACCTTTCATCACTCTCCATACTTTTCTCTCTTCAACCCTTCATCCTAGAACTGAACCCCACAGCATAAACCCTAATAACAATGACATCTCCCGCTCCATCACCCACCAAACACGAATGGCTAGTCATTCTTCCCGACCACGAAGGCGTGCTCCAAAAACGTCTCGAAGCCCGTCCCCAACATCTCGCCGGCGTAAAGCCGCTAGCCGAAGCTAGTGCCATTCTTTTCGGAGGCGCATTCTTTGATGATCTACCTCTAGAGGGAGAGACGCCTCAAGTAAAAGGAACAGTGCTTCTAGCCTATGCGGAGAGCAAGGAAAAGGTCTTGGAACAACTGCGTCAGGATGAATATACAAAGAGTGGTGTGTGGGACTGGGATAAAGTGCAGATTTATGGGTTTAAAACTGCTTTGAGAAAAGGATTAGATGGTGGGATATAGAGCTGTGAATTTGGCACTACTACCATGGGTGGTGATTTCAAAGAAATCGGTGCTCAGATTCGATACTACTGCTCGTATGGTGATAAATTCTAAATGGCTCAAAGTTGAAAGAGGAATTGGTTGAAAAAGGACAGGCTACCCATGTAGATGGTTTTCAGAATGTGTGTTGAATCGAATGGAGCCAATGTACATCTTAGAAAGGAAATATTAGGTTCAGGAATTCTTCAATGTTGAGACTGTTTATAGCTGCCTTTGGAGAATTTGTTGTTCGAAGTAATAGAACCAGGCAATTCCCGATTCGAAATTCATGTTATATGTTGACCATTAATCTGTGTGAGAGTAGCTACTTGGCCAGTTCACTTTCCACATTCATGCGTCCCGTTTCCTAAACTTGGAATATGGTTGAAATTGATTTTCATTGTGTTTTGTGTTTGAAATAAAAAATTCCGCGCCTGTGCCTTCCCACAATACTATGATACCATACCCTACTAAAATATCAATTGTGTACCTTCCATGCCGTCCAAATCCCATGATGCGTACGCTGTCAGTAAGACAAGAAAAAATAAAGAAAAAAAAGAAAAGATTAATCGCCGGAAACCGAGTCCACATGGGAACTGTGGTCATATATCTTACAATTTTATTCCTCCGCGGCTTTACCCTGCATTTGCGATATGCATACAGCCGTTCCATATGTCCACCCATTAACACTCATAGCTCCCTACCAACCCATAACCCCTTGCCCCTGTCCTCCGACATCAAATACTGCATTTCTCCAACCGCCGTTATTTTCTGCCTCTCCCTCCACTATCTCCTCTGCATCCCTGCCCTCCCTCTCCCAAACTTTAACAACACTACCTGGCGCATAAACGCCCTTGAAAACATTTCCTTTACTCTTTGCACCCCCTTGAACTCCCACATTTAGATACAGATCCGGATCTTCTTCTGGCTTCAATCTCGTAATGATTGCTTTAATAAAGGTTTGAATATCATCTGGCGACGATATTCTAGTTGCACGGAGACGTTCACGTGCATAGAGAAGTTCGCGATTGGCAGCATGGAAGAAATCGGCCAAGGCCGTGGAGAGTTGGTATTCTAGAGTTTTGCGGAGGATAGGACGAAGGAGAGGTTTGAAGATCCTGGGATCTGAGTTAGCATATCAATTAGTGATTAAATATAAAAGAGGACTTACCAGGCTAAGCAAGCGAACTTTGATTTGCTGAGTTTGTATGAAAGATGATGAATCTTAACACGTGTATCTTTCAAAGTAAGTATTTTCTCAAGCTTGTTGTGGCCGATTTCAACATCGAATTCGATATCGATACCCCTATCATCAAGTTCGAAAGAAGCGATCCCTTCATCGGCTAACCAAAACAAGCTTTTGTGTGCTCGGAGCCAGAATCCAACTTCATCTGCTCTAATTGACAGTCCTTGAATCTTGACTGTTACTACAGAAGTAACCTTTGAAAAGGTACGGAATCGAGCTTTTTGAATTGAGAGATCATTATAGGTTTGGATCTTGAGCCGATATGGTAGAAAACTGGTATGATTGACAGTTCTACCGGGTTCGAGGATGAGATTCTCAAGAAGAAGATCAATTTCTGGGACAGATATCTCGAGACGAGGAATTGGTACATATTGAATGGCGGAGATGAACATGGGTATTAATACGGTGGAGAGATCAGTGAAGAGCTCGGTGTTGGAGGTTTTATTGAGTGGGTTGAGAATGTTCCATATTTTCAACGTTGTGTGAACCAGTTTGGAAACGTCTTGATCATTCATTACTGAATCGAATGTTGTGCGTGCTTGTTTGAGCAAATTATCAATATCCTTTCGAAGGGGAGACTCGGTGCCCACTTCCTTGGTTTTTTCTTTCAATTCCTCGACCTTATTGGCGGCAGCATCGAAGAATTCTGGATCGGAAAGCATCTGTTGAATTGATTTTGCCAATTCTCCCATGAGATTTTCGAATTCGGGATCTTTTTGAGAGTGCTCCATAACTTTGTTGAATCGCTTCTCAAGTTCTTTCCATGCATCCTTGTCACCAAAAGAACTCATTAAAGACCAACCATTCTTCACTGCACGATCAAGGGCTGGGTTTGGTTCAACATCATCCTGAACAGCGCTGATAGATTCATCCACAGCTCTAGAATAAGCTTTGGCGTATCTATGAATGAGAAGACCAATTGTGTTGACTGAGTCCGAATAATCATTCCGTTTTGTCAATTTCGTAACCGCTTCCTTCAAACGATATCGTAAAGTCTCTCTCTGCTCCCCAGAAATGTTTTCCTTCAAGCTTTCACCTGCTTGTCTACCTGCCTTTTTGAAGCCATTCGTAACAACTTCGCCAATCTCACTTGCTTCAGCTTGAAGGTCTTCTTTGGGAATGGGCTCACTTCTTTCCTTTCCTGGCTTCTTCATTGCTTCATTTTCGACATCCGATGGCTCAATTTTATTCGCAGCATCTTCTGCGACATCTGATACCGTCTTTGCTGTGTCTGCAAAGACCTGTCGACCAATGGTATTGAGGTCTGAAAGGAATATTCGAAAATCGGAATTTGTCAATAGAAGACTACCAACAGTTTTGATACTTGCGTATGCTGTGACTGGTCAGATATCAGGATATTATATATACCATAGACAATACTTACCAGCTGAGGCATCTGCTTTTGCTCTTGTGCTTGTGGCTCTTTCAATAAGATCTGATGTGTTGACAGAGATTCTCGAGTGTATCAAGAACCATATAAAGTCTTGGATCTGATCTCCGTCATTCTTATTTCTTAACAATTCAATGAACTCCGTAAGCCATTGCTTCGAGAATTTGATCAATCGTCTTCCGCTATCTGTCAATTCTGGATTGTCCGGATTTAAAACATCTGATGCCAATAGAGTTCTCAAATTGATTATGGCTTGTTCAGTAGATGGCATAAATCCCTTGGATAAAGCTCTAATCATCTGATAAGTATGCAACTTCTGATGAACCGTTCTCTGTAATGAAGTATCATCCTCATATTGAGGTAACAATGGACGAGTATCGTCACCTTTTGACTTTCTTGAACCAAAACATGAAGACATTTCGGGATATGGTGATAGTGGAGAATTGGAGGTGGAGAATTGAGATTGAAGGGGTCTGAAGTCTGAGGATGAGATGGGAATTTGAAGAATTGGATTGTTGACGGGATCAAGCTGCATACAATGTAGATCAACTCCACACTTACTCAATGGCTGCAATTGGTTAGAAAGGACTACTATCTTGATTTGTACGAGTATTCCTTCAATTGATGATTGTGTGTCAGAACTTAAGTTAAAGGGAGCAAAGACTCCCGAGACTTCATTTCCTTGCTTTTGTTGTTTTTGTTGTTTGGTAACCAATGCCGATAACGCCTCTTCTGCTCAGCCAACTGAGGCTGGGGCCTAGAATCACCTACGTCATCTCGGTCATCAAAGGTGGTTGATGTCATGGATCGTTGGCGCTAGGATAAACTAAAGACCGGGCTGATCAGAGGGTCACGTGGAGATAAGGAGTCAGCTCAGATGAGATTGAGGTCGTACGTAGGAGGCAGCGAACATTTTTAATTTTCGAGTACGTACTGTCGTCATTCCAAAACGATCTTCTCAACTTTTTGCTTTTTCACTATTGAGCGGCATATACTTACTAGCCAACCGACACTGAATAGAAACTTACCAAAATACTCATTCAGCAGTAAAGCGCACATTCTCACTTCAAATTCGTAGTCATCCATCAACCCCCACCTCATACAAACGAATAGCTTTCGCATCGTCAAAATGGAACAACGGAAGGAGGATATAACTAGAAGACCATTATACGGTAGGAATGCAATCTTTGGGCGCGAATTTCCTAGCTAACAAGCAATAGTCTATGACCTTCCACAAGATATTTTATCAACACTCGCGCGCAAAGACGATTCCAACGACGCCAGTGACGACACCTAC